TTTCCGGCTGCATTGCGGGTTGGGATTGCCACTTTCTGTCAACTAAGTCTGTGAAACGTGCTTGATGGCGTGTGAAGCCCTTTTGGCGTTTCACCAATACTACTGCTTGCTGCAATGCCGGCGTGTGCTGTGATACGGGTATGGGCCAAAATTCAAGCACCAGGGGACGGCAGGTTTTAGTCCATGTTTCCATTTACCATGTTGGGCACCTATTTTTGACCCGCAGCCATACTCTCGTATCACAAAGTACGTCTGGGCCTGGGAAGCTGCCCGTTTCGGTAGACGGCGGCCGTTTCGGTGGCCGAAGCTTAGGCTCCCGGAATCGCCGATCTGCCAGGCCGCCAGCATCCGGAAGATGAAGCAGGAGGCGTCAGCTGATCTGCTCGGATGTTTGGCCAAGTTGGTAAGTGGCTGTGGGTCGAACTAGGGTAACCCCAAAATGGAGCCCTGGTAAATGGAAACATAGACGAAAACTTGCGGTCCCCTGGTGGTTGAATTGTGACCCATACCCAAGTGGTCAGAAACCCACTAGCAACTGGACCATAAGATGGATACGACCTCGGATACTAACAACTTACCAAATGCCCAGCGTGAAAACTCGGGAAGGGAGGCCACATTTTAGCGAAGTCGTAATCCCCGCTACTTTGAAGTCCGGCGCCATGTTGGTGCATCCAAACCAGGAGTACGTTGGGGTCGGTAGGGTTCATGAGGGCAGCGCTCCAACCCGGGTCTTGGAAGCTTTTGTTTATGCCTTGCGAGCTTCGTTGGACATCTTGTGCGCATGTTCCAAGTGGGAGATTGGTACATGTAGAAATAGACAAATCACAATTGGATTCTTGTAGGCTGTGGTTCCTCGCTGAGAAGAAGCAGCGTGCTACATTCGACTTTGCTTGGTTTCAACTCTTCATGATTGAGGGTGCCACAGGTGGCTAGACATTTGCGCTTTGTTTGCAGCTTTCGCCAATGGATGGCTCATGGGCTCATTTCCGAAGTGGCCCAGTTTGCGCCTGTTCCAACGACTGTATGCTGAAGGGCATATATTCCATGATATATTCCAACAGATGGGGATATCAAGCGGGCGGCTTGGAGTGGTGGAACCAGGGACACAAACAAAAAGTGGCCCAGCAAAGCTGCCAACCCTGAATCTCAAGGATGAGGACGCTTTGGCTCTTTGCGTGTGAGAAGCATTGCCCAGGTTCTTTTTGCCCAACCGACGAAGCATCCAGCAGTTATTTACTGTCGTCAGGGATTCGGCAGAATTGAGATACCATGTCCAAGTAATTTGAATGTTCCAAACTGCTCTGGGACCTGTGGGTGTTTCGTCTTGCCTCGGCCGACGGTATTATTGATTTCTCAGATCGTATTTTTGTCGCTGACCATTCGATGGGAGCTCTTTCTGTCTCCTATTCGATCGACCCTTCCTTAAATGGCGATCCATGCGCGGCTGATGCATCCACGAATGGTACCTGAGACATCCTGAGACATCCTGAGAGCGGCCATCAAAACGGAGAGGACTGCAATCACAAATCCTCAACGCGAGCGAAGGCATTGCGCCCAGGCAAGTCCTGAGAATGTGGGGGACGTCGTTGTGGATTGCGCCGGATAATCCACTCAGAAGGACAATTTGGCAACTTCCTTTCAACAGCGAGACCAAGGGGGGTTCCCCATTTTGGCATAAACATAGTCGTGTTGGTTTTCAACATAGTCGTGGTTTTTAACACCACACTTGTTTTTCTGCCAAAATGGGGGGAGTCCCTTTGCCGAGAAAATGGGCGCTTCGGCGTCCTCTTCGTTTTTGCTCGCCGTGTTGGGCGTGCTCCGCTCGCCGTGCTGGGCGCTAGGCCTTGGACTGCGGCTGTTCGAAGCCGGACTTGGGGCCACCCACTTTCGGCGGCGCTTTCACCTGGTGCCCCTTGGTGCGAGACATCCGAGGTTGTAGTAGAGAGGTTGGGGCATCTGGAAGAAAGGCAACGAAGAAGTGCAGGGGAGTGGGTGAAGCAGCAAATGCTTAGAAGGTAGACACGAGTTTGAGATTTGAGCCCTCCGTTTGACCCGAATGAAGCGTAGCTCGGGCAAGCCAGGAGCCCTTGCAGAGCATGGTCACTGGTATGCCACAAAGGCCACAAGGATCCTTTTGCTGGGCTTGTCCTTTCTCGATTCGGCAGACTGCTTTGCCCAAGCCGAAAGGTCCCGATCCGAAACTTCCCTGCCCCAAACATGCGACGTGCGCGAGAGGGGGCAGGTGTGATATTCTTGGTATGGGCCATGCTGCCATTTCACTGGGTCTTATTGCATGGGTCATGTGCATGGATTGGCAGAGGCATGCATCGCAAGTGTGACCTGTTGTTGCACTCTTATTCACTTTCCGGCAGCAAAGCAAATGCTTCCTTTAGTTTGAGCTTTGATTGCCACAAAACGGTCTATTTCCTGGACCTGGAAGCGCATGTCCGGTCCACATTCCTTGCGAGGCAAGTTTCATCAAGCTATCATGCTGAACCAGGACCGGACTGCGTGCAAGTTTGCAAGTGGGGGATGAGGGGGAGGTGCGCCAAACAACCAGTTGAATTAAGCTGATTGAAGTCAATATTTGCATTGGTTAAGCTGAGCAATACACATATATCTATATATATATATATATGTACATATAAATATTTGCACACATGTGGGGATATTTGTATATGTACGGGTATACACATAACTACATGTATATACGGGTATACACACATACCTACATGTACATATATATATACATATATACACACATATGCATGACGGCTCTGCAGTTTGTTCTCTTCATGGACAATGTCAATTTTGGGTGAGTCTCAATCTAGGGGCATCCAGCATTTGTATCCCTTCGTTTCAGGTTTCCCTTGAACCCCACAAAAGGGTACCAACACACCGCCGTCTTTTTTCGCATTTCAATAGACGGCGGTGTTTTTCACCAGTGAGCGTTTCACTGGTGAGTAGTTTCCCATTTCCCCACTAAAGCCAGGGGCCGGTTCAACTCCAAATCCAACCAATGTAATCACCACCAGTTAGGAAGAATGTCACCAGGGAACTCCGGCTGGGATCAGGAGCCTAACGAAGAGTTTCCAAGAAGCTTTTCACCAGGACCTAAGACACTCTGAATTCAAAAGGAGGCTTTTTCTTAGGTCAGAAGGGCAGGCGGGGTGTGAGTCATCAGGACCTGCGGCCCTACTATTTGCCCTTTCTGCAGATGTCCACGGAGGCCTTGGCGCAGTGCCCCTTGGGCGTGCTGCAGATGGCCTTGCTGGACGCCACGCTGAAGGTGAGCAACTCCCAGGCGCCGGTTGGAGGGGGTGGGGTGGGGTGGGTGGGTGGGGTGGGCGGCTTGGGGAGGGCTGGTTTGGTGGGGTGGGTGGAGTGGGTGGGGTGGGGCTTTTCTGGGGTGCGGTGGGGTGGGTGGTGATGGTGGCGCGAAATCATCTGAACTCGCAGCTCGCGAGAAAGGCTGGTTCCTGTAAATACCAATGAGCAATGACTTCCCATCCAGGGTTTCCAAGTGGTGCGAAATGAGTTTTTCGTCCATCCACAGTATTTCGCCGGAAGTGGGCGCGTTGAAATTAGAGGTGGCCTTCCATGTGGCGTCGTGAGGTGATGCCCGAGCTCACCCAGACGCCCAGCTTCCTCAGGCTTGGGCGCCTGGTCTGCGTGTCTGGTGTCTGAGTCTTTGGTCGCAATTTCTATCCATGCAGTGTGTGTGTGTGTGTGTGTCTATCTATGCCCCTCTTTGGGCCGAAGGAATCAGGCTCACAGGGATAGGCCCACAGATTATTCCTTCAACACTTCTTGTACTTGAGGGGTGCAAAGGTTTGATGCTGGGGTTGGTACGCATGAATCTTTCATGGCCAACTTGGCTGACCGCTGTAGGGTGACACTCTTGGTTTTGCCTGTGATAGTGTGACAGTTCTTTGAGGAGGACAGCATGACATGACAAGTAACATGAAGCTGCCTTAGCTTTGCGAGCATCGCATGACATGCGCTTTACTCGCATGGCAAGACTGCATTTTGTGTTGCTGGTGGATTGTGTGGCAACTCGTGCTCGCTCGCTGGCTCGCTGGCTTGCTCGCTCTCGCTCTCTCGCGCTCTCTCTCTCTCTCTCTCTCTCTCTCTCTCTCTCTCTCTCTCTCTCTCTCTCTCTCTCTCTCTCTCTCTCTCTTTCTGTCTTTCTCTTTCTCCTTCTTTTTTCCTCTCTTTTTTGCGTCTCGCCGACGCGCACACACACACACAGACCTGGAAGGAGGGTTCGTTTTGAATGGGAACATGAAATCAAATATTCGGGTCCCACCTTTTACACATTTCCGCATTTCAATCTGGTGCCGCATCGAGAGAATGCCAAGACGCTGCAGCCAGATTATGCATTATGTCTTCCTCATGTGGTGCCACCGATTCAGCTGAGTCAAATGCATGTGACAGACAGATGTATTTGGAGCCTCCTCAGAGGCATCACCCTTAGGAGCGTTTTCAGGACGGAATGGTTGTTTGCCGAACGTGGGGCTATCGAAAGATGTGGCTTCAATGGCGATCACCCTGTTGACATAGGATGCAACAGCATGGCCCCTCTTCAGTGGTTGATTGGACTATCTCCCACCAATCAAACATCTCTTCCGCTTTGGGGCGTGCCGCGCCAAAGTCCCCGCCAGTCGCAAGTCGCGCGAGTCGCAAGTCGCGCACGCCGCGAGGGCTGAGGAGGCGCTGGAGTTGATGCTGGAGAGTGGCGTGTCCCTGGTGGACGTAGCCACCTCCGGGTGGATGGTCTTCAACCAGGCGCGACTCTGGGGGATTTGTTCGGGGCAGGGCAGGGTGGAGGACCACCTGGACCAAAGATACGAACTGAATGTATCCAAGGAGAGGGGAGTATGCCATTGCAGAAGGAAGCCAAGGCTGGAAGGTGGGGTTGAGTCTGTTCTTGGAGATTTAGGGACACCTCCCAAATGGGTGGTCTCTGGGAAGTTGGGAACCGCAAAACCGATCAAGCCGAAGAAATTGGATGCTAAAACAGGGGGTGCCACCAACTCCAAAACAGGGAGACGCAACCACTGGTTCGTACCAACTCCAAAAAATGAGACGCACCTTGGCAGACCTCTTGATCCATGGGTCAAAACCCCGTACCCCCGGTGAGCATGCCAATCCCCACTCAAATAGTTCTGAAAAATGGGTGGTGAATTCACCTATCCCAAAACGGTACCAAACCGGTTTTGAACCATGGCCATTTTGGTCTCCAAAAAAAGAAGAGACGCACCTTGGCAGACCTCTTGGTCCATGGGGCTTTGTGAGGGTTTGTTCAGCTAAGATGAGCGCCTTGCGGGCCGCGGCCCAGCGCCGGGGCGCCACCTTTGCCTTCGAGAGCGGGTGCCTCACAGTGCCGCCGGGCCGGGCGAGGCGGGGAGCGGGGAGGGGGGAGCGGCCCAGATCAATCGGATTGGGCGGGGGGGGTGGCAGGCGATGGGAGGGGAGAAGATGTGGCAAGGTGGCAGGTGGCAGGTGGCAGGTGGCAGGTGGATTTGTTTGGCCCTTTTGGCCATAAGGGCCGAACACCAAGATTTCATGGTCCCTGAATGGATGCTTCATGAATGTGGCAATGTCTTTTCGGGCAGGGCCCGAAAGTCACACGTGCGATGAAGCCTCGTAGATGGGCTTGTCTGCGGTCAAATGGGGCAACCTCCAATGTGGCTGGTTTCCTTTAGTTTCCCTTCTAAACAGCCCCCCAAAATTGCAACTCACAAAAGGGCACCCAATGCAAGGCACATTGCTGCGAATGCTTTTTTCCCTGGATTTGGGTTGGGAGCATATTCCACCCCATTTACCATTAAAAAAAACAATCGCAATGTGGAAAAGAGCGCATAGTTTTCGACCATTGACGTGTCATTAGCTTGCGTGATCTGAGGGCTCGCATTATAACAAGCCTGATCGAAGCACTGATAAATAGACATGCGAACTCATACTTTGGTCAAGACATGCAATGTGCTCGACCGTCAACATACCTATCCCGTCCCGGCCTATTGGTGGCCATCACTGTGCCGGGTTTGTTTTCCGTCGTGCATGGATCGCACGTAGGATGCTGCAGACCCTCACCGAGGGCGTCAACTTCATGCCACTAGGCGGGCTTCGCTGTGGCCGGACGTGCCATTCGATTCCGAGTCTAGAGACATTTGTCGAACATCACATAAACTTGGGGGTGCCGTTCGCTGCAACTTCAGGCCAAGGCACGTGCAACACCCCAAAGGTGACCTTTTTCAGATATGCCCTTGCGCATGTCTTCGTTGCGGCTGTGATGGGCACAGGCCTATGCAGCTGGTGCTGTGGTTGCTAGCTATACATGGTGTTGCCGGTTCGTTGTGCCACGGCGCGTTCCGTTCGTTGGAGCATTGCCTTGGGCACGACTACGAGCGTTTGCGCACAGAGTGTGGCAGTGCCTACGCAGGGCTTAAAGCATGCCTGCAGCGGGAATGGAGGCATACAGATGCCACTGAACAGTTCTCCAGGCCAGACAAGGGCTTCAACCGCTTGAAGCAGTGCCGCCATGGTCTTATGCTGTACAATCCTTTGGACTGGTACATCGGCCGGTCTTTGGAGGTCTACGGGGAGTGGGGTGAGAAGAAGGTGCAGCTCTGGGAGCATTTGGTGCAGCCGGGCCAGGTGGCGCTGGAGATCGGCGCTCACGTCGGCACGCTGACGCTGCCGCTGTCGCGGCTGGTGGGGTCTGGGCGCGTGATCGCCTTTGAGCCTTTCTACCCCTCCTTTGCCGCCCTGGCGGCCAACACGGCGCTGAACTCCTTGGACAACGTGGAGCTGCGGCAGGCGGTGGTGGCGGACCGGGCCGGGAAGGTCTTCATGGACCGTGGCAGCCTTGCCTTCAAGCAGCAAGACTTCTTCAACTATGGCTCCATTGACTTTCAAGGCCTGGACATCTTGCCGGCGGATGCAGAGCGGCAGGTGGCCTGGGATGAGTATCCGGTTGTGACGTTGGATGGTCTGTCCATGTCCCAGGTGGATTTCATCAAGATCGATGCGGAGGGCCTTGAGCTGGCAGTGCTCCGCGGTGCGCGGCGACTGCTGCGGAAGTCTCAGCCCCTGCTCTTCGTGGAGTACCGGAGCCCCAAGGAGAAGGATCCCAAGCTGCTGCAATTTTTGCGGAAATCCGGGTATGAGTGCGTGCTGCTCCGGCTGCCTGTGTTCAACGAGAGGAACTTCCGGAACCATTCGGAGGATCTTTGGGGCACCTTGGTGAGCTTTGACTTGTTGTGCAGGAACACGCGGCGGAACACTGACGGCAAGGTAGCGAGTCTCTTCACTAGTGCGGTGGAGACCGATGTGAAGGGTCTTCGGACAACGCCCACAGATCCACTTGACATCTTAGAGAGGGCCAGGCCCAGCGCGGGAAGTGGGAAAGGACAGCCCAAGCTTCAGAGACCTCGAGGCGGAGCCTTAGCCTCCAGGCCGTTAGGCGCTCAGTCGGAGCAAGACAAGCCGGCTCCAATGGCCGAAGAAATGAGCCAGGAGCTGTCGGCGGAGGAGCGTGTCCCGCAAGTCAGGGCAGCGAAGCAAGATCTGCCAGATTCTCATTTGCGGCAGGTCAAGTTTGTGGAGCCAACCTTGGACGAGTTGTGAGAAGCGTGGCTGCAATCAGATCCCGGGGAAAAAACCAAATAGTCAGCCGCATCGGGGGCAGTTTTCACGTCTGCAGTGCGAGGTTTGATTCACGCAATACCCGTTGACGGCAAGGGTGTGGGTTGGCCTTTGCCCAACTCAGGCGGGCTGGGATGACACTCTTGCAACAACACTTTTGTGAAGACTTACATTGCCAGTTGGACGAACACAACGATTTTTGGGCAGCATCAGGGGAAGCCATCAACCAGTAATCCCAAGTGGCAATGGTATTGTTATTGTCATTCTTCGCTCTTCCCAGAAATGATGCTTTCTTTCAGTTTTGCTTTGAGAGAGTAGTTTGTTTGCTGTGGGATCGAACAGCCTGCTTTGGAGCTCTATTTAGTTTCCAGCGGGCAAGACGTGCCGTGCCTTTTTTGGAAGATTCCCACCTTGTTTGGGGTTCCAAGCGCCCCGTGGGCTGTTTTTAATCCCGTATTTGGCCAGACTATTATTTGCCCGTGCAATCTTTTTTTGTTCTGTCATTTGCGTGTACGTTGAACGAAAAAGGGAAGAAACCGTACGACCATGTTTTGGGCCAAGGCGTATGACCGAAAAAGTGGTCAGAGACTTGGCAGTGGTTTATGGACTCCGAGAAAGTGGTTAGAGACTCGAGGATATGGAAAGAAAGTAGCGAGCCTGACTAGACTGAATTGGGGGGAGGTGTGCCATCTACGTTCACCCAATTGTGGTTATACCTCGTCTCAGGTTCCCCTGAATTGGTGGTTTGGATTGGTGGTTTGGGGATTTGAATCCCTGATTCTAGAGGGTAGGCTCGTTAACCACCAATCCAACGCGTGAATCGTCAGGCGTGGCCTCGCTGATGCGGGTGCTGCTGGACGACACCAGCGGCGCGGAGCCGTGTCAGCTCCCCTCCGCTGGGATGTTCCTGCGCCTTGCCCTTCAGATCGGGGGGTTCCCCCGTTTTCTTCCATGGTTTTATTGAGTTCCCAGAAGGGGGTACCCTGAAGAAAGACGCTACAAGGGGCCTTGGAAAGGCGATGATGTGAGGAATGGGCTGGACATGTCATGTTGTGCGGTGTAGCAAAGGGTTCCCGGTTTGAGGCTGCAGGGCGTTGGTTGTTTTGGCTCCCCTCCAACCCATTCAATCCCCCCACACAACCCCTGGGTTTGAGTCCCAGGTTTGGCTTGGATCGCTTGATCGCCCCCCTTTGAGGAAGGATGGGGTTGGTAGGGATGGACCCCTTACAGAAGTTAAACAACAATGATGGAGATTCCCAAAAAACATGGCACACAGAAGCAGTTTTGACCACGGCATACATGGAAGCAACGCTTTGTGAGTTGATCGCCACGCAGGACTTGAATGTAACTTGCCCTTAGGTTGCGGTATTCGGTGGAGGCAAAAGTGGTGATTGGCATGATGAACCACAGATGCAAAAGTTGCGTTGGAGGAAAACGTTGCAAAACATATGTTTCGAGCGCCCAATTCTTGACAACCGCTAAATGACTGGCCAGACAGTTGAATCTTTGGCAAATGGATGGAGGGAGACTCCATGACACAAGAAGCTCCCATTTCGGAATGGATGGCTGAACTTTGTGTATCAGTTTGCATATGTCTTGGTGAAAAGAGATATTTGCTAGGTCTTGGAAGCTCTCGTATCACAGCCAGGCTGCTTTTTTGCCATATGGCTGCTGGGTGGCATGAGCAAACGGAAGCAGGCACAAGCAGCACCACCACAGATCACACAGCTCACATATGGACGCGCTTCGTGCACCTTCCGGCAAAAACAATGGCATCTTTCCCCTTTACCGGGTTCGCTTGCGAGGCTCATGGCATACTCCACGCTGCAGCAGACGGTGCTGCCAGAGGAGAAGGAGCCGAGGCTGCCAGGAGCGGCGGCTCTGTCAATTCGAATGCGGGCCAACCCCAACTCAGCTGGGACTGACCCAGGAGCAAATCGGTCCCAACAGGACGACCAAGAAACCATCAGACAGCGTTGTAACGTGACGTAACAGGCAAACATCTAACTCCTCACGATCAGTTTTGCGAAACCTCCAGTATTGTTCTCCTTGTTCTTGGAGTCTAGAAGGAGCCTATTTCGTCTGCACTGGATTTGCAATGTGCCCTCCCAAAAGCAACCATAACACCTGCATACATAGGCATCCTTTTCAGCTTGGAAATAGATGGCACTGGTTTAGATTTGTTCTTACTAGACAAACCCATCTGTTTTACCAGAAGGACACCTCTGGTAACGTGGTGTACCCAAAGGAACATCATTTTGGTCCCCTAAAACAAACACATAAAACCTGCAGAGCATAGGCGTCCTTTTTGGTGGTTTTGCTGGAGAAATAGATGGCCCTGGTTTATTCGGTTTAATCATCAGGGAAATCCATCTATTTCCCTGAAAAGGACACCTACTTGGAGTCGGTAATCCCTTGAAGCGAGCCGCAGGCGTTGCGCCGCGTCCCGGGGAGGAGGCCGCGATGCTGCTGGGCGCCGGCGAGGCGCGGCTGCGCCCGGAGCCCCACCCGAGCGCGGCGCGCGCGAGCGCTGGGGGGGGGGAACGCCCATTTTTTGACCACTTTCAGAGCTGCATGTTGGAGATTGTGTTTCGTTTTGCCAGGCACAATGAGGTTTCAGGGAAGTTGCAAGCACTTCTGCTGGGATTCAGGAAGATCGTGGGGTTCGGGGGGTTTTCAAGTACCATTGCTGCTTGTCTTGGTGGGTTTCAAGAAGGAACAAATGGACAAGTCGTGGAACTAGGTGTGAGTGAGAACAGCCGAGAAGAGGAATGATGGAGCTGGCCAAGAATGGCAGAGTTTTGCTGTGGTGGCTGCAGTTGTTTTTTGCTGCAGTTGTTTTTTTGTCGCCTTTTTGTTTGAGACCTGACTCGGTTTCTTGGTGTCATCATTTTTGTTGCCACAAAAGCGTTTGGACGAGCCTTGCAATGACCTCAATAACCTCTTTCCGTTTTTCTTGGTTTGGCTGAATTGTTCTCTTAGCTTCCGAGACCTGTACTCATGTGGCAAACCCATTTCCCGCAACCGGTTGCAACTTCCAGCTGCCAGAGTTGGAATCAAAGTTGGGTAATTGGGTTGACTTGGCTCTCAGTTGGGAATGAGCGAATGCCCCCTATAAACCATCCATCCCTTGTGGGTTCCTTTTAGGGGACCCGTTTTGGGCCCAAGAGGGAGTTCCCAAAAGGTCCCAAAAGTGGGGCCCCCGAAATGAAGAGGTTGCTCGTCGAAAAATATGACAGACGATCACTCCGATCTATATCTCCTGGTCCCAAAAGAAAGGGCTGCCAAGATCGCATGGTGGCTTTTAATGGGAACCTGGGCCCTGATTGATTTTGATCTCAAAATACAGCAATTCCTCCACCAGGTTGAATCCGACCTGGTTTCCCTTTCGGAACAAGACTCTGGTTTCAGCAACTCTTGCGCAGCCTTGACAAATACTCTTCACCGTCACCCAAAAAGCCGTGGTATACTCAAACCCAGGACTTGGTTTCCCTAGAAGAAAATCAAGCCCTGCGATCCTGAAACTCTCTTATTGGAAGGCAGACCTTCTTAGTTGGCATTCAGTTTCCTTCTCTATGCTTCCCCACCCTTTCCAGTTTGGTGGGGTGATGTTTTATCGAACATATTTTTTAAATGTTTGTTCTTTGAACAGCGTGGCGGACAATGAATGGATTCCACTGGTTTATATTCGGTTCTCTCTCTCTCCCCCACAGGCTATTTTTGAACAGGGCGGGCCAACATCTGTTTCAACCACCATACCTCTGGTTTCAAGCTTGTTTCAACCAGCTTGGCCACCCCCCCCCCCCACTCCTACACCTACCACCCCCCCCACCACCCGAGCGCTCTGCGGCGCCCAGGCGCCGCGCTGCTGGCGGAGGCCAAGGCGGCGGCGCCGCACAGCGGCCCGCTGGCGCTGCTGCTGGCCACGCCGTGGCCCGTGGCGGCGCCCTGGACTGCAAGGGCCGGTGAAAACGGCCAAGGCCTCTGACGTTTTTTTGTTTCTCCTTTTTTCTGTCTAAACGTGTATTTGGCCTTTTGCGTTTCTCTCATTTCTTTCTTCACAGAATACGATGAAATGGAAGGTTTTGTCGGGCCGAATAAGAAGCCACCGACTTGGGTTCGTCAAGCAGGAGAAAAGAACATATGTAGGGGTAGAGGTGATGTTCAGCATCACTTGTTCGAGTAATTGACGGGACTAGCATTGGATATGCATGCTCCGAATTTCGGCCCACAAGCGGGCGACCAATGCTTTCATGCCAACCCTTGAGAAACATGTTCAGCCAGCTTCAACGAGACTGCCGCAAAGCAACGCTGGAAACCGACAGTATCCAAGGCTCTTGCTTCAGAAGGTCCGCTTGCCTCGGTATTGTGTGTTGGCTTTCCGGTAGTACCAACCCATTGCTGGATTTTCTCACCATCCAATAGCAGCTTTCTGATTTAGTGTGGCATTACAGCACCGTCTTCGCGGAAACTTCACGAACTGATTTTGGGACCTTCGGAGTGGCTCGCTTCTTCAGGCGCGGCTTTGGAAACAGAGGGGCCGCTGCCGAAATCGGAAGGCCGACGGATTCGCAGGAGTTGGGCCAACTCGTGTCTTGCTTTGCGATTCTTTCAGCATCCTTTTTGGTTTCCCTTTCCGGAGTGGTGCCCTGTTGCATTCCGGTGCAAACCCAGGAAGTCTTGGACCTCTTGAGCTACCCGGGCAGGGTGCCTGTCACTGCCAGGAGCTCGAAGTCAGACCGGTCAGGCGACGGGCTTTGTGGGTGTGATGCCACTTGCTTTCTTGGTTTTACAAAGAACCAGTCCTGCTGTTGGAGTTGCGCATTTGCCAAGCTGCATGGTTCCGGCGGAGAGATCACAAAGCTGTGGTTTTGCTTCCACGTCCTTTTTTTTTGGCTTGACTTATGGCACTGTTGACGGATGAAATTCTGCACCGCCTTCGCCATGGTTTACAAACACCCTCGCGCTTGGTTGCAAACATGTTGGAATGGCCGAAATCCTGCACGGCCTGTTGTGAATGCCAACACCATAGAGAAGGGGCAGCGGAGATGCGCGGGTTGGGAGAGGCGGTGCGGGATTTCTGCCGTCAGTCGCTTTTGGGAGGAGGGATCTACCCAACTCCCAGGGGCTATGACAGGCCCCGATGTTTTCCTCATTCAGCTTGGCCAAGGTCAGCGGGGCCCTGGAAGAGCTGCTGAATCTCCAAAAGGCTTGGCCTGGGGGGCGGGCATGCGGTCTGGGTCTGGATTTGCGGATACCTTAGTTGTTTTGGTTGTCGAGAAGGGAGAGCCGAGGGACACTGGAAACCAATTCTTGGGGTGTCCCCCCAATGTTTGAATGCTCAAACTTGTGACACCCTGGCCAGACAGCCTGTGCCAAATGGCAGTTGGCTCAGCGACGAAAGCCGCTGGTGCAACCTCATGTTGCATTTGCTTGTTGTAGACAAGTAGCCTTTGCAAGTCGCGTGAATGAACAAGACAGCCACCTGTGTCGGATAAATGGTGAGAACCCTGGGAGTTGACCTCCCAAAAGGTGGGGGCTGGAAAATGTTTACCCCCGCGCCGCAGTCGTTGATCAGGGGGATCTAATACATGCCAGGAACCCCCCGTCTGAGGTTGGTTTCGTTTGCAGAAATCTTTGGCACTTGCGGGCTCATGGAACAGCACACAGGCACATGTGTATTCGACCATGTCCAGTCATCGTTTTGGTTTGGATCATCACACCTTGAGTGACATGGCAATGGAGTGAAACAGCAAGCGCGGCGCCCCGCGCATCTCTGCCCACGGGCTCTGAGTGAGCTTTTCCCCCTCAGCTGCACTGGTAGCAGAGCAACCGATCTGAGTGAATCCCGAAACGTTGCCTTCATGCACACGAGCTGCACATGTGCCACGAATCGCCACCAGTGCCATCCTGAGATGGTTGCCCGAAGGGATGGCAAAGGTGCCACAGGGAGGGGGTTTGGGTTTGCGCGAGCCCAGGAGAGTGTAGGGAGGATGGCAGCAGCCATCACCTGAAAAGCCGACAGCCGAACTCAATCTGCTGAGCTTGAGAACCTTGGCGCTTGTGCGAGCCTGCAATCCGAAAAGACGGCTGCCGAAGCCAAGCTGACATGGCAGAAGGCCCAAGAAGCCACAGCAGCCCTGCGGAAGGACCGTGGTTTCGGGTCGGTTCCAACATCAATTTCGGCATCGAAAACAGGGCCTCTGCTCGTTGTATCAGCGCTATGCCCGGGACTGCCAGACAAGATGCGCCCCTCGAGATTTACTTCAGCAGGGCTTGTGTTGGACAAGTCCACGAAGGGCGGCCATTTGGTTTCAGGTATCAACACCTACGTTGGTGTTGGCTCATCTTCAACACGTCAAGCTCAGCCTCATGAAGGTTTGGTTTTGTGGAGCAACAACGTTAGGGACTGCAGGCGGGCGCTGATCGCCGTGTCGTGCGCTCCTGTGGCAGGTCTGGCGTTGGTTTCCAGGTGAGAACCCAACAGCAGTTGTGGGGCTTCATCTTCCTCGGGACTGCCTCAGACTCGACAGCAAAACTGATCTTGGCCCGGTCAGACAGATTCTTTGCTACGCATCTTGTTGACCAGGTAAGCTGCTGGAGCTTGAAGGAAACTTGCGCTGGCACGTGCTTGTGAAGTGGCCATACTCCGCTTGGCAGACGCACTCACAAAGAAGTCTGCTGACGCTAGACAGTCGTTAGCCCAGTTTCTCAAGCAAGGCTTCGCTTTGCGCCCGGCTTCCTTACCTCCACTAAGAAAGCCAAGAAGTTTGAGAAGAATGCTGTGAGCGCTATGCGCAATCTGCAACTTTCGGACACTCTCATGGCAACGCTGGCAATGGTTCGTGCCTGATCATTCGTGAGCTTCCCCCCTCAGTTCCTTTTCATGTGGGGGGGAACGTGGGAATGGTCCAAGCGTCTGCAACGCGCACAAGTACAGATTGGAAATTGAAACATTGTGTTTCTCCACTGGGGCTGTCTCGGACTCAGGAGCCTCGTTGTTTGAAGGAACAGCAAACACACTGCTTTTGCTGTTGTGGTCACGCCCGTGCCAATATTCTGGCTCCCCACGTTTGTCAAGAACGCGGTTTGTCGACCGCACACGAGGCGGGAAATTCGCTTGAAGCGGTCCTGCGTCTGCGAATTTCGCTGAGGACCACCCTTTGCTGGAGCTTGCGCTTAGCAACGCGAGCCCGGTGCCCACGAGTTGCTTGAATTGAGTCGGGAGGGGGGGTTTCTTTGGGTGAGATTGAACTTCAGCTGCGTTGGTTGGTTGGTTGGTTGGCTGGCTGGCTGGTTCCTTGCTTGCTTGCTTGGTTGGTCGCTTGGTTGCTTGGGCTTGGGTTTGGGCTTTGCTTGCGTCGAGCTGGGTTGGGTTGATGATGCCGGCTTCGCCGTGGCAACAAACACAAGCATTGGATTGAATGGCAATTGCCCAGTCGGCCAACGGATCCCCAACCCACCACGGGAAACCCAAACCTCCATGATAGATTTTTCGGGGACACCAAAGTTCCGGGGGAATCAGACTTGCAGCCTTTTGTGCGAGACTGCTGCAGTCACACAGCACGTTGGGGTCAAGCACGGGCTCACCGGCAAACTCAGCACGCCTGAGCCTGGATCTATCGTCAGGCCGACTTGCAAAACACGCCGCAAACCCAAACCCCAGTCAACTGAACTCAAGACAACCCAATCAGAAGCAAGACCAAGTACATCCAACCTAACAAACTCCTGAGCCAGCTGAAGCAACCAAACTCAGCACAATCCCCAGAAATACCAATGTATCGCCAAGCAAGCATCCAGCTTTGCTAGCCTTGCTTCTGCAACCTGTTTTTTGTTTGATGGGTCTTCTTCGCCTTTTTTCTGCCTTCCTCTGCAGTTTCAGGCTGCAGCAATCCGTGCTTTTGGCATTTGTTTTCGCTTCTGTTGCCCCGACTCCAACTTAAGTGTGGTTTGTTGGCGTTTGCGCATCGCCCCACCTTCCCGTTACCTAGCCTTCGCTACCTCACCCGCTTGCAGATCGCACAGACCAAAGCAAGCAACAACACGCACACACGCACACGAACAAACACATAGGCGGTTGAAGCGAAATGCCCGAGGCTACGCGTTCCGGGTGAACCCGTACCGGGAGATGGTGAGCGACATGGTGCGCTACACGCGGCTTCCCTTCTGCGGGCTGCGGCCGTTTCTGCGGATGGTCGCCGACGTGGCGAAGAACGCCGTGGCCGCCGGCTGCGGTGGCACGGGAGCCACGGCCCGGGAGGCGGGGAGGAGGGGGGAGAGGAGTCTTAGATTTGACGGTTTTGAAGGGTTATCGCAGTCAGAAGCTGGGGTTCGGGTGTCAACCACTTGGTTTCAACACAAACCGGTCCCCTGCATCAAAACTAATCCCAGTTGTTCCTTACCCTCTTTACCTTTGGTTGAACGGGAAGCCAACAGGACGGCCGCTTTTTTGACGACCATGTTCCACTTGGGGAGGGACGCGCCCAGGTAGCGCCGGAGGAGTGCCAGTTCACCTTCGTGGAGGGAGGTGGGAAGCTGCCGGCTCCGCCGGACCTCGGGTGCGGTTTCTTGTCCCCAAGAGAAACCCCTGGCTTTACGTGTGCCTTAAGAGCCCTTGGCTCCGAGCTCTTCCTTGGAAAGATGGCCAACCTTGGGTAGCTCTTGTTGTCTCCGTGGCACAGAGCACCTCCAGGCAAACCGAACAACGGACAGGGTGTTCAGATGATTCCGTGAATCCCGGAAGTACTAGTACTTGAGACACATCAGAAACAAGATGATCGAATCGCCTATAGAACAATTCTAGCTCGATGTTGGAAGAACAGTGGTTTCTCAAACAAACATTTGGCCAAATCGCAACATCACCGGGCAAAACGACCGCGGGCTCCATGATCCGAATTCCTTGCTGCGGGCCAGCGTCTTTCCTTGCGCTTGGTGAATCATGCTTCACCCGGAAAGAATGAGTCTGAGCACATGAAATCTGGGAGGTTTGCAAGGTTGGTCAATTGTGCCGTTGGAAACGCATATGCAGCGCGGCCACCAGTCACCCAGCATGCATTCTTTGCCCCCCACCTCGCCCCGTGAGGCAGTGGGACTTCCCAAAAACAACGGGATGTCGTACATCACCCCTCAAACCAAAGGGTGGTGTTTCAAACCACAAGAGGACATACAGTCTGTCAAAGTTTTTGAGGTTTTGACACCCCCCCTTTTTGGTTGGTTTAGTCTCCAAAAGAAACCCATGAGGAACACATTTTTGTGTCGTTTTTTTTAGAAAAGAAAAGAAGCACACCCAGGGATGGGGGGTTTCTGGGAAACCGCTTGTCCAGGTCCGCACCTGGGGGACTGCGCGCTGTGGGCGGCCACAGCGCTGCGCCGCTGATCCCGCGAATCTCAGGGCTTCCGGGGGACCGCCAACTGGGGATTTGGGAGGGGGGGAAATGGGGGTACTCGCCCCAAATCTTCCGAGGTTTTCAGTCTATGGCGTGTATGGTGAAAAAATCCAAATTGGGGGTGTCTGTGGACTCATTCATTTTCCCCTGTGTCAGTTGCTGGAGCCGCACTGTTTTGGAGGTATCCTTTGCTGGTTGGCTCAAACATATCCTGACTTGATTGAGATAGTTGGGAAAATGTGGGCACACGAACTTATCCAAGAAACCCAGAAGGCATTGGAATTGAATTTCATAGCTCATGTGGCTGTGGCTCAAACAAATGACCCAAAATGGCCCCTAAATGGAACAAAGACCAACACCTGCGTAACTCGAGCTCTTCAGCAGGGCTCCTTAACAGATACATTTTGCCCATTTGAAACATGGCTTTTTCCACCAAAATAGAGGGACACCCACCATTTACAAGGCAATGTTCAGGTGTAAAACGTGAGGATCCCTGCTCAGTGTCTGAGGTCTGGTAGGGGTGCAGACCCGGGCCATCGCTTTCGAGCCGCTGCCGGACGCTGCCGCGCTCTTCCAGCAGCACCTCTGCAGCACCTCAACGCGTTTTTCCATTGGACGGGTCGAATGGAAGCGGGGGACCTCCATGCGCCTCCAAATGATCTGGGCGCCTTTCCCGTGCGAAGTATGTACATATATGTATATATTTTTATGTATATGTATAGTAAATATATATATGTGTAGTAGACATATGTATGTGTATATATATATATATATACACATGAACATACATATATGCTTGCACATGCATATACAGTGTGTGCAGCTGCAACCCCTGAGCTGATGGCTGGAACCAGGATGGCGCCCCAAAGTAGCAAACAACAGCCTTGTCTTCTAGACACCGAGTCAGAGAGAGAGCGAGAGAGATGGAGAGACAGAGAGAGAGAGAGAGAGAGAGAGAGAGAGAGAGAGAGAGAGAGAGAGAGAGGGGGAGAGAGGGAGAGAAAGATAGAGAGAGAGAGACAGAGCGAAAGAGAGAGGGAGAGAGAGAGAAAGTATAGAGAGAGGGAGAGAAAGAGAGAAAGTATAGAGAGAGAGAGAGAGAAAGAGAGGAAGAGAGAAAGAGCGAAATTATACTGTTGTTCTTTTCGGTACGTGCTTTGCGAGTATTGATCTTTTTGATCAATCACTGACTTGACGTTACAGGCCAAAACTTCGTTAGCCCCGTTCTTCCCCCTGCGGGCTTGAATCCTTGCTGTCTGCCTCTACCGATTGCATGTGAGCATCTATTGCCAATCAGGCCATGTGTTTCCATTCCATGTTGTCCCCCCTTTTTTCTGCCCCCCGGTCCTTGCCAAACCTCCTTTTGAAAACCCCTTCTTGGGTCACATGGCAGTATCCCACGCTTGAGCCCAGTTTGTTCAGGCGACGTGTCCCCAATGAAAAAACACCGAAGGCTCCAGGTCGGCGTCCTCCCGCGCTGCGCACTGTCCCGAGGAGCGTGTCGGAGAACGGGCTGTCGGCCTACGTGGCGGTGCGGAACGCGGCGCTGGGGGAGACCAGCGGGGCCTTCACCGAGCTGATCCACTTCCGGGGCCACAACGGGCAGGTTGGGCGCGTTTTGGGGGGAGGAGGGATGGTTCTGGTGAGGTGGGTAGGGTGGTTAGGGTGGTTAGGAATGGTTACGGTGGCTAGGGTGGCTAGGGTGGTGAAACGGGTGGTGAAGGGGGTGGGTGAGGTGGTGGGCCTGGTGTAGTCCTCAACAACTGAGGCTTCGCTCTGTCCGCGCGCAATTGACCCAGGCCCGATCCTCAAAACCCGCCTTCGGGCCACTCAGACCTACCTACCTCCTTACCAGCAGGCCCACACCAGCTTCTCCGAGGTCAACATTTTCGACCCCCCACCTGTTTACCTCAATCAAACAATAAACAACCAACCAACCAACCAACCAACCAACCAACCAACCAACCAACCAACCAACCAACCAACCAACCAACCAACCAACCAACCTACCTACCTACCTACCTACCTACCTACCTACCTACCTACCTACCTACCTACCTACCTACCTCCGACCTACCTACATGGTTGAAGACAGAGCAGGCCAAGTCAGGGTAGTTTTGCTCTATTTTAGCGCAGTGCTCTTGCAAGCACAGAACCTGCTTTTCGCTTGTATGGCAAAGCGGTTGCTCTTTTTGGTAAGCTAGGCTGGAGGATTTTGACTCCCTTGCAGCAGGATGCCAGCACTTGAATGTTCTCTATTGTTCCACCATTCTACACCTGCCTTCTAGAGTACGCCTGGGTCACTCTAGCCGGATTCCAAAATCCAGAGAGGTCCATGAAATGAATATGGCGGCCATGCGCGTTCATGTTGTCCAATGCAATATTCTCCGCCTTCGATGGTGGAGCCTTACTGCCTGCAAAGTCACTAAAAAACCCTGGCCGAAGATCCTGGTAGTTGTCCCAGTTTAGTTCCTACCATGATCAGTAAATTAGGAACATTGGCAAGCCTGCTTGAGAGGCTTCACCTGTGGAAGCCTATATCTACATTGAAGTGAGGAGAAGAAAGAGCGGCGCTTGTGGGGGTCCTTTGCACGCAGTCTAGCAAGCCTTGCAAATGGCTTGACCTCGCACGAAACGCCCAACGCATTTTTCACGGGCCTCGCCCGGGAATGTCCCTCATTTTGGTGCTTACTTCGACTCGACCTCTCCGGGTGCCTGGGTAAACATAGCGCCCAAGGCGGAACATGTCTCTCGCGCAGGCGACCGTGAACGGCCAGGACTTCCCGTCCCAAGATCGCCGGGAGGCGCTGGGAGGGTATACGTGGCTTTCCTCGAGTTGGTGGTTTGGATTGGTGGTTTGGGGTCCCTCTACAAGAACTCGGGATTCAAATCCTCAAACCCCCAATTCAGGCTTACCTCAGTGTATACCTTGACTTGGAGTCCGGGTCCTCCAATCGCATTCCCGCATCGGTCAAAGTATTTAGTGGGAGGGGCATGGGGGTATGTGTTCTACTCTTTTAATGGTACCCATTTTGCGATATGTACAAAAACCCAAAATAAAAAGGCACCATTTTCCCACTTGTGACTTTTATATTTTGACCGTGGCCGCGAAAATATGGGCCGTCATTTTTGTTTAAGGGGATGCCCCCCCCTACTCTGGGTGCTTTTTCGTGTTTCCCTTTGCAACCACAAAACGGGGGGGGGGACCAACTCGAACAAAGTGACACACACACACACACACACACACAAAGCCTCGAGAAAAAAAGGCAATCAAACCCAAAAAAAAGGCCCTCAAACCCAAAAAAAACATCAAGCCAAAAAAACGAGGCGGGAAAAAAACACGACATGAGCGGAGGTGGTGACGGTGCCGGCCCTGGAGCTGGCGCTGGACGAGCAGATCCCGGCCGCGTGGCCGCGGATCGACGCGCTGAAGCTGAGCGTGAACGGGGCGGAGCGCAACACGCTGGCAGGGGGCTCAGCCGTTGGGCTCGGTTTGCCGGGGTTTAGGTAGGTAGGTAGGCAGGTGGGTGGGTGGGTGGGTTGGTTGGGTGGGTTGGTTGGGTGGGTGGGTTGGTTGGGTGGGTGGGTTGGTTGGGTGGGTGGGTTGGTTGGTTGGTTGGTTGGGGTTGGATTCCCGTTGATGGGTTGGTTGCAACATGTTTTGAACAAAACCAGAGGCTCGTTCCCTTCAAAGGGAAACCAGCAGGTTGCAAGGGCTTGCCCCAAAATGGGAAGACCTTGCCCCTTTCATGATGGCTCTCTTGTCGTTTCTCTTAAAGCATGATCCGACAAGTTGGTTCCCTAGTTGGGGATTCGTAGCAAAGGCGCCCTTGAACTTCCGACCTCGCAGACTTTGGCTCTTGTCGTATTCGACAAGCATCGCCCTCGAGCCCTCGTGGGATGAATGGGCGCAATCTATGAGGGTTCAAACAATGTCCATTTGAATTTGGATGGACATTGTTGCCTTCACCAAAGGCCGCCACAATCTGCTATTCTCATTGATGCATGGTTCCATGATCGCTTGACCTAATCCTGCCAAGCATTTTGTCGCACCCTGGGACCTTTGCACAAAGGCCTCTTCTGGCCGAAGTTTCCCCTGGAGCTTCGACCGGAGCTTTCTGAGACATGGCCCCCCTGGGATTTACAGATGCAAAACCATGCTATGTGGCAGATGGTCAAAACGTGCGGCCCCCCCCAATTTCGGTCTCTCTTTTGGACTCCCTTTTTCGGTACCTTTCAAGCAGGTGTGCGTGCGCACTTGCTTGAGGTGCCTGAAAAAAAATCACCAGGTGGGGTCCCCAAAAAAGCAGCCCCTCCTCAAAAACGGGTGGTGTTCCTTGCAGCCACAAGCAGTAGCTATTAAACAACGAGACACCCAGCCGCATTTTTTCGGGGCGACCTGCCTCACTTTCCGCAGGCGGGCGCTCGCCGGCTGCTGTCCAAACGTCGCATTTGCTCCGCCCTTTGCTGGCAGAGGGCGGGGGAACGCAACCAATTTCTGACTCCCGCTCACGGGATGTAGGTCCGCTGAGAGTGCAAGGTCGGTACATGTACTACATTTTTGTTTATAGAACTATATATATATATATACATACACGTAGTAAGGTGTCAATCTACATATATATATATATATACGTATAGCTTTACAATTCAAGGGAACATGATGCAGCTTCAGCAAAGGCTTCTACACTTTTAGGGGGCATTTCATCTTTGGAAAACACATAAATACAACAACGGATGTCACAAGGGCGCTTTGAACTGTTTGCAGTCTCGTCCCACTCGCCGCATGATCGCCTACGCTGACCCTCGGCGTCTTTGGGTCTTGAAAAGTGAGACTTTCGCCGGCTTGAAAAGCGACACCTGAAGTCAGGTTATCCTTCATCCGGTTTGGATTGGGGAGCACCCCCTGAACCTCCAAACCACCCATCCCGACCAATTCGAGGGAAGCTGATGAAAGACCTTGTCCAAGTTGTGGCAACGTTAGATTCTGCAGCCAGGTGAGGCATTGGGACTGCACGGCTTTAGGGCTAGACTCGTTCGACACTGAAAATACCCATGTTTGTGTGCTAGAAGAAAGTGGCGACCGCAAAGGTTGGGCTTCTTGGTGGCAAGTATGTCGCCCAGTCCTGGACATAGGTGTGAACATGATGCTCGGATGGGTCTTTTTGCCTCCTGCGGGCAACCATGGGCAAGTTGCAGTGGCTCTACATTTCTTTGTTTTGAGCTGCCTCGGTCCTCCCTGAGTCCCCGAGCCCTGCCAGTCTCATGCCGTGCGGTGTGCAAGTTTCGCCTTTGCACGGGCTCTTGGCGGCAAGGTGCTGATGCATGCCACGAAATGCAAGAGGCGGGCGGGGGGGTCGGGGGGGAGGAGGTGGACAGACTTGCATCCCACAAGTCTGATCAGTACGGCACAGCAAGGGCGCGAATCGAGTAGGACTCGGTCTGTCAAGGGTAGGCGTTTTTATGATGATGCTGATGCTGACTGATGCGAAGGATGCTCTCCTCCACTTCTGCAATTCGAGGACTTCCATAATTCGAGGTTTGGGCCTGGGGTTGCTAGATTTATGCGTTCCGCCATACACGACCTGCCATCGTTGGCTCCAACCAGAGGGCTCGACCCAGCTGTGACAGGACTGCGCACCCGGCAGATTAAGGGACACCCTTGTTGGTGTGTCGTTGAGGTAGCCTTATCACCATTTCAAGGGAAGCCGACGAACAACCCAAGGGAAGCCAGCTAGGCATTTTTCCCCTGGTCCCCCGGCGAAGAAGGGAAGCGAACCAATTGGCACTTTTGAAGGGAAGCAAAGCCAAGTTCACTTTCAAAGGGACGCCATCCATGAATTCCCCCCGGGCTTCCGCTCCCGCTCCCGCGCCCTCGCTACCCCTTCAGGGGCCGGCGGTCCCCGGCGGAGGACCCGGCGCCGGAGCCTGGGGTGTCGAAGCGCCTCGGCTCGAACGAGTCGGGTGGAGCGGGGTGGGCTGCGGGGGCCATGGGGTTGAAGGAAAGAAAAGGGAGGAAGTTGGCGGTCTGAAAGGGGCGATGCTTTGGTTCTGGTTGGCCAGGTCTTAACTTTGCTGGGTGGGGGGGTGGTGGGGATGGGTCAGTTGGAGAGCCCATCCATTTTGAGCCCTCGCTCATTGGAAAGATGATTGAGTGCAGACCATAATCCAAAGTCGCCATTTTCAGGTAGAGTCTGGGGAAGACCGGGGACTCGTACGCTTTTGAGTGCGGTGCAGCTTGTCGGGGTTAGAAACGCGGCTGGAGATTGGGGTGAGGTCGGCACAGTGCAACAAATGCATCATCGTTCCGATGCCGGTCGCCTCTTTGCGCAGCAAGTCTGACATTTTGTCACTTTCGCAGCCAACAGATTGGAAAAAAAACAACTGTCACGTTGACGCTTCGTCCTCCTTTTCTGGCGGGGATTCAAGCAGTGCATCGGGTCGAAAGGCTGTAACGGCAATGCGGCTTTGGCCATTGACAGTCCATGCCAGCTTTGGTTTCGCGTGAGAGTTGCCTCGAGCTCGGCGTGTCCCCTGCTTTCCTCTCTGGATTGCCACAGCCTTTTGGACCGAAGGTTGCAGAGCCCTTTGGCTTTAGGTTGACCCGACTTGCACTAACAGACCCTTTGGGTTTCACGGTGCAGGTTTAGGAGTAGCTAAGTGAGATGATGCTTCAAGACGTAGGGTTGAGTTTCAACAAGGACATCAAAATCTACGGTATTTCGAGGCCGACGTTTTTCCAACGCGGTTCCACGTTGCTTTCCAAGCAATATTTGTGGGCTCTTCAATGCCAGGCATGGTGGAACTCAGGAAAGACCCTCAGACAGGCTCTCAGAGCCCTTTGATATACAAATGGTGGCTCCCGTGTCAAAATAGGGGTTCGCCACGTTGAGACATATCTTAAGACATATCCCTTTTTCTTTTGTAAAGCAACTTTGGTTGTCAAGTTGAATTGAGCTTCCTTCAGGTGGGGTGATCTAAAGGGGAGATGCAGGAAAGGACTTTTCTTGGATGCTTTGGCCCAAGGCTTGACATATTGAAATCGCTACGCGATCTGCCGACGCCGTCTGTGGTGCGACGACTGCTGCCTATCCCTCCCCGATGCTGAAGGGTGCAAACGGACTGCCTGACTAAATGTCCAAGCCCAAACAATTGGCCAAGTACTGGGGGTGCGAGGAATGCTGGGAATGCTGGGAATGCTGAAAATGCTGGGAATGCTGGGAATGCTTGGTATGCTGGGAATGCTGGGAGTGCTAGGAATGCTGGGAATGCTGGCAATGCTGGAATGCTGGGATGCAGCATGCAAACAAACACTCGATTTTCCCAAAATCAACCATCACAAAAGGATGGCAGCAACCCACTTCAAATACCCGAAATATACACTTCTAAAAGCACAATAATGCTAGGGATGTTTCGCAGTACTAATTGCGGCCAAGACCCCAAGCATGCCAAATCCAACATCGCTCAAACACCATTCATATCAGCAACAACAACACAAGTCATGGCGCCAAGACAGCCCTGATAAGGCTGGGAATGCACACGTAGACAAAATGCGCACTTCAGGCGTCAAAAGGCGAAAACCACTGGACAACGGGGTTGCCCAACAATGACCTCCCTGAAAGTCTTCGGCTTTATCCGAAGAATCCGAAGGAAGAGCAAGTTGCAGATTGCCATCTACACTCGGGCACGGACATAGGGGGGGCGTTCCGTTTTGTGACCTAAAGGCAGACTTAAACCCAGGGTGGATATCCGGAAGCCATGCGTGAAGTCTTCCTTGTAAGATGAGTCATAGATCGTTCTTGTCGTCCGCGTGACTTGGAAGGTTCGCCTTTGAGCTGATGCAGTTCTTGCACGAAGGGCATCTTGGCTTGGGTGGTGAGAACGCCAGTGGACGATCGTGGAAACTGACAGACTGTTGGAGGATTACAGTCCTCTTGAAAGGTCAGCAGCCTTGCAAGGTCAGCAGCCATCCATTTGGCGGTTGATCAAAAGGTCCTTTACATAGGACGACCATTGGGGGAAACCACTCAAAAGATGATATTTCCCACTAAATAGAAGAAGTTACCCATGGTCATTCTGGGGCCAGGAATATTGATCAACCCGCATTTCCCACTTCCATGATTGTTGGACAGGTCTTCTGGCCTTTGCTCTGATTGGCTTTGGCTCGATTTGTTTTTGTGTTGGAGCCTGAAAAGGGGTTGCTTCACGCTGATACTCCACACATAGGGAAGCAATGCTGCCTTTTGCTTTTTGTGGGTTGGCCATGCCTTGCCAGGTCGACATGGGATCATTTTGATCTTGCTTCGCTTTTTTTTTGCGGGTCTTAGCAGCCACAATTGGCGAGCCCCGACAACCACTAGACGTCACTTCGTGCTGATTTTAGGACTCTTGCTGGGTTTTGTAGGATCCGGGAACGTTGTTTGCGCCAAAAAAAAAGGAAGCCTTGTTTCTGGACGGCCTCACTCAGTTCAAGGCTCGGTGTCGCTCCTGTCTCTGTATGCACACCCCGGGACCCACACGTTGCTTCCATCCCCACGGCAAATGATCGGCGCAGGGGCCAGGCTCCTTTTCTGCTGTGTCCAAAAGTAGGACCCCTCTTGCAGGTAAGACTTACAGGGGAATCAATATTGTTACTTGGAGAGGCGGGCTGCTTCCAGCCTGGCCCTTGTAGTCTCAGGAATAAGATCTTTTTCAGGGGGATCAATGCCCAGAAGCCCAGTTCACTCTCTCCCTACGCATCTCTGCCCAGTGACATGGATGTCTACGAGCACAATGATGCCACGGAAGGCCCAGGCTGGCCTGAGACTTCGCTCGCTTTGGGTGCGCAAAGAACATGCGGGATGTTTGAAGCTCCCTTGCTTTCTAAATGCGTCCATCCGCTTTGGTCTCTCAGGACCCCTCTTCTGATCATACATCAGCCCCAGCTTTTGCGGCACATGCATGTGGGAAAGTGGGGATTCTTGCTTTTGTGGCAGGTGCCTCGGACAGTTGCAGCTTCGTCTCCTGTGCTTGTTGCCAGGTTTTGGGCAAGCCTTGATCCTAGCCTTGACTCCTCGCCCATGGCCTCAATGCGATTTTAACGCCTCCGGCTCAGGCCGCCGACATTACAGGCCTGCTTTCTTATTTGCGTTCCTTTGGAATTGTCCCCTTGCCCCCTTCCCCTCTGAGATTTTTGCCCCCCTTTCTTTGTTGAGATCCATTCCCCCTTTCCGCCCTAAGGCCTTTTCTCCCTCTGATTTTTTCCCTTTTCCTCCCTAAGATGTTTTCCCCCCTCTCCCTGTTGAGATCCTTTCCCTCCTTTCCCCCCTAAGGCCTTTTTTCCCCCCGCGATCTTCCCCCTTTTCCTTCCTAAGATCTTTCCCCCCCTTTCCTTGCTGAGATTTTTGACCCCCTTTCTTTGTTGAGATCCATTCCCCCTTTCCCCCCTAAGGCCTTTTCCCCCCTGAGATCTTCTCCCTTTTCCTCCCTTTCCCCCACTTTCCCCCCTACGGCCTTTTCCTCCCTGGGATCTCTTCCCTTGAGATCCTTTCCCCCCTTTCCCCCCTACGGCCTTTCCCCCCGCTGAGATCTTCTCCATATTCCTCCTTAAGATCCTTTGCCCGCTTTGCCTGTTGAGATCCTTTCCCCCCTTCCCTTTAAGGCCTTTCCAGATCTTCTCCCTTTTCCTTCCTAAGATTGTTTCCCCCCTTTCCCTGTTGAGATCCTTCCCACCCTTTCCCCCCTCAGGCCTTTCCCCCCCTTGAGAGTTCTCCCTTTTCCTTCCTTAGATCTTTCCCCCCTTTCCCTGTTGGCATTTTTTCCCCCAGATCTTCTCCCTTTCCTCCCTAAGATCTTTTCCACCACTTTCCCTGTTGAGATCCTTTCTCCCCTTTCCCCCCTAAGGCCTTTGCCCCCAGATCTTCTCCCTTTCCTCCCTAGGATCTTTCCCCCCCTTTCCCTGCTCAGATCCTTTCCCCCCTTTCCCCCCTAAGGCCTTTCCCTCCCTGAGATCTTCTCCCTTTTCCTCCCTAAGATCTTTTGCCACCTGTCCCTGTTGAGATCCAGTCCCCCTTTCCCCCCTAAGGCCCTTTCTCCCTCTGAGTTTTTCCCTTTTCCTCCCTACGATGTTTTCCCCCCTCTCCCTGTTGAGATCCTTTCCCTCCTTTCCCCCCTAAGGCCTTTTTTATTCCGCGATCTTCCCCCTTTTCCTTCCTAAGATCTTTCCCCCCCTTTCCTTGTTGAGATCCTTTCCCGCCCTTTCCCCCCTAAGGCGTTTTCCCCCCCAAGAGCGTCTCCCTTTTCCTCCCTAAGATCCTTTGCCCCCTTTCCCTGTTGAGGTCCTTTCCCCTCTTTCCCCCCTAAGGCCTTTCCCCCCCTGAGATCTTCTCCCTTGTCCTCCCCAAGATCTTTTCCCTTGGTTGAGATCCTCTCCCCCTTTCCCCCCAAGATCTTCTCCCTTTTCCTCCCTAGGATCTTCTCCCACCTTTCCCTGTTGAGCTCCTTTCCCCCCTAAGGCCTTTTCAGATCTTCTCCCTTTTCCTCCCGAAGATCCTTTGCCCCCTTTCCCTGTTGAGATCCTTTCCCCCTTTCCCCCCTACGGCCTTTTCCCTGCCTGGGATCTTTTCCCTCTCCTCACTGAGATCTTTCCCCCCCTTTCCCTGTTGCGATCCTTTCCCCCCTTTCCTTCCTAAGGCCTTTCCCCCCGCTGAGATCTTCTCCCTATTCCTCCTCAAGATCCTTTGCCCCCTTTCCCCGTTGAGATCCTTTCCCTTCTTCCCTTTAAGGCCTTTCCAGATGTTCTCCCTTTTCCTTCCTAAGATTGTTTCCCCCCTTTCCCTGTTGAGATCCTTCCCACCCTTTCCCCCCTCAGGCCTTTCCCCCCCTTGAGAGTTCTCCCTTTTCCTTCCTTAGATCTTTCCCCCCTTTCCCTGTTGGCATTTTTTCCCCCAGATCTTCTCCCTTTCCTCCCTAAGATCTTTTCCACCCCTTTCCCTGTTGAGATCATTTCTCCCCTTTCCCCCCTAAGGCCTTTGTCCCCAGATCTTCTCCCTTTCCTCCCTAAGATCTTCCCCCCCCCCCCTTTCCCTGCTGAGATCCTTTTCCCCCTTTCCCCCCTAAGGCCTTTCCCCCCCCTGAGAGCTTCTCCCTTTTCCTTCCTAAGATCTTTTCCCCCCTTTCCCTGTTGGGCTTTCCCCCCTAAGTCCTTTTCTCCCAGATCGTCTCCCTTTCCTCCCTAAGATCTTCCCCCCCTTTCCTCCTTAAGATCTTTCCCACCCTTTCCCTGTTGAGATCCTTTCCCCCCTTTCCCTCCCAAGGCCTTTCCCCCCCCTGAGAGCTTCTCCCTTTTCCTTCCTAAGATCTTTTCCCCCCTTTCCCTGTTGGGCTTTCCCCCCTAAGTCCTTTTCTCCCAGATCTTCTCCCTTTCCTCCCTAAGATCTTCCCCCCCCCTTTCCTTCCTAAGATTGTTTCCCCCCTTTCCCTGTTGAGATCCTTCCCACCCTTTCCCCCCTGAGGCCTTTCCCCCCCTGAGAGCTTCTCCCTTTTCCTTCCTTAGATCTTTCCCCCCTTTCCCTGTTGGCCTTTTTTCCCCCAGATCTTCTCCCTTTCCTCCCTAAGATCTTTTCCACCCCTTTCCCTGTTGAGATCATTTCTCCCCTTTCCCCCCTACGGCCTTTGCCCCCAGATCTTCTCCCTTTCCTCCCTAAGATCTTTCCCCCCATTTCCCTGCTCAGATCCTTTCTCCCCTTTCCCCCCTAAGGTTTTTCCCCCCCTGAGATCTTCTCCCTTTTCCTCCCTAAGATCTTTTGCCACCTGTCCCTGTTGAGATCCAGTCCCCCTTTCCCCCCTAAGGCCCTTTCTCCCTCTGAGTTTTTCCCTTTTCCTCCCTACGATGTTTTCCCCCCTCTCCCTGTTGAGATCCTTTCCCTCCTTTCCCCCCTAAGGCCTTTTTTCCCCCCGCGATCTTCCCCCTTTTCCTTCCTAAGATCTTTTCCCCCCTTTCCTTGTTGAGATCCTTTCCCGCCCTTTCCCCCCTAAGGCGTTTTCCCCCCCAAGATCTTCTCCCTTTTCCTCCCTAAGATCCTTTGCCCCCTTTCCCTGTTGAGGTCCTTTCCCCTCTTTCCCCCCTAAGGCCTTTCCCCCCCTGAGATCTTCTCCCTTGTCCTCCCCAAGATCTTTTCCCTTGGTTGAGATCCTTTCCCCCTTTCCCCCCAAGATCTTCTCCCTTTTCCTCCCTAGGATCTTCTCCCACCTTTCCCTGTTGAGCTCCTTTCCCCCTTTTCCCCCTAAGGCCTTTTCAGATCTTCTCCCTTTTCCTCCCGAAGATCCTTTGCCCCCTTTCCCTGTTGAGATCCTTTCCCCCTTTTGCCCCTAAGGCCTTTTCAGATCTTCTCCCTTTTCCTCCCGAAGATCCTTTGCCCCCTTTCCCCGTTGAGATCCTTTCCCTTCTTCCCTTTAAGGCCTTTCCAGATCTTCTCCCTTTTCCTTCCTAAGATTGTTTCCCCTCCCTGTTGAGATCCTTCCCACCCTTTCCCGCCTAAGGCCTTTCCCCCCTGAGAGCTTCTCCCTTTTCCTTCCTTAGATCTTTCCCCCCTTTCCCTGTTGGCCTTTTTTCCCCCAGATCTTCTCCCTTTCCTCCCTAAGATCTTTTCCACCCCTTTCCCTGTTGAGATCATTTCTCCCCTTTCCCCCCAACGGCCTTTCCCCCCGTGAGAGCTTCTCCCTTTTCCTTCCTAAGATCTTCCCCCCCCCCTTTCCCTGCTGAGATCCTTTTCCCCCTTTCCATCCTTTCCCCCCTAAGGCCTTTCCCCCCCTGAGAGCTTCTCCCTTTTCCTTCCTAAGATCTTTTCCCCCCTTTCCTAGCCTTGACTCCTCGCGCATGGCCTCAATGCGATTTTTGCATTCTCATTGGTTCTGATTCGCAATTTGTTCCTTCCCGAGGTCATTTGGGTGTGGGTCAAAATAACTCGCCCAAATGGAACCGTGGTAAAATGGAAACAAGGACTAAAATTTGTTGTCCCTGGTGGTTTAATTTTGACCCATACCCATTTCAAACAAGTCGCGAGTTGTTCACCCTTCGGAGCTCAGCTCTGGCGCGACAAAAGCGAGACTCTGTTTGTGCCCTAAACTAGGAACCTGTCTGCATTCGGGTTGGCGGCATGCTCATTCCCACGAGTCCCTAGTCTTGACACACTGTCTCAATATCCCCCTCCCCCCCCCCCCCCCCCTCAAATGTTTTTTTTGTTTCTCTAAAGACTCAATCAGTGGACACACGCAAATATTGAAAGTGTTGAACAATCCTGAGCAACACGCAATTTACTATGGTTTTGGGTTGGGTTACTTTTGTGTAGGCAATCCGGGAATCCACGATGCAAAACAAAGACACTTACTTGCTTCCTCCCAACAATCTAAGATGGTGTCCACTCCCCGGAAAAGGGGGGTGCGGGGTGTATGTTGTAGTGGCTGTATGGAGGCTGATCCTATCAATTCCTTACTGTGGTTTTGGGGTGGTTTCGCCCTATCGTGTCAACCCCCTTACTGGCTCTCAGGGACAGGGGACACACCATCCCCTTCCGGTTCATTCCAACTCCGACATGTGTCTTTGTTTAGGGAATCCCCCCAAAAAAACCGAAAAATAATTAATGTTGCTTTTCCCTTGGTTTCCCTTCAAAACGGGAAACAAAGCAAAACACATCTTAAAACGAACAAAGATCGAGCCAAGGGTACCCTGATTCAAACGAAGGTACTGAGACCCGTTCGACCCGTTCGACTCCGCCAGATTCGGCTCGCCAGGCCGGGGCCGGGTGAGGCGCCTGGGCGGAGCCAAGGACATGGACGCCATCTTCGACGACCCGGCGCTCACCGAGCAGGCGGATTGGGTCTCGGTCGAGTGAGCGAGCGGAGCTAGGGGAGATGTGGCATGCTGCGGCAGGAACCCCCGTTCTTTTTTGAGCCCACGGTTTTTGAAGCCTCCATCTTTGACCGCGAACAAATATAGGCCCTTAATTTTGCTTTTAAGCACTTTCGAATTTCATTGTTGACCGCACCAGATTTATTTTGACTCCTCGGCAGCTTTGAATCCGCTTGAGAGAAGCGGCGAGGTCTACTTCCTGGCCCTCTCCAAGGACCAGCGCTGCGGCCGCGCCCGGCGGCACTTCCACGTGGCGGCCGGGCGGCCCGCGGAGGCGCCGCTGGAGGCGCCGCCACTCGGGGCGCCGGGGGCGCCGATGGCGCGGCGGCGGGTTTTGCCGGGGGCTCCGTGGTGTTGGGGCGAAATGCCGCCGGAAGTGGGGGGATATGAAACAGAAAGCAAAAAGGAGAACAAACATGGCCCTGTGTCTGCTTTTGCCATGGCATTTTTTTGTGGCGCCAAAGCAGCGCACTTAGGCACCTCGCGGCCCTGAGCTTTGTTGAACACTTCTGTTGGTTTCTTGGGCTCCGGTCCCGACTCAAAGCTTAGGACCCTCTGGTGCGAACCCCCTTTGCTCAGCACATGGTTGAGGTCATGAACATCGTCCTTGTTAGGTTCGTTTGGTTCAAAATCGATGGGTTCCACTGGTTTAGGTTGACCAGGGCCATCTATTTCCCCAAAAGGACACCTATATGCGGTCGTGGGTTTTACCGCATCCCGTTTTTGGTGTTCTGTCATCCACTCGGAGTGTGCGAGCCCATGAAGCGCTCCAGTCAGGACGCTGGCCAGCCCTGAGGATCGCGGGATCCGCGCAGAGAGGGGGCGGTGGGTGGCTGGCGGCAAAACGTGCGTTTTGGGGAGCCGCGGGAGAGCAAGACCCAACATGTAGCAACAAAGCAGAAGCACCGTGTTTGATAAAATTCAATCAAACAAAAACACATCAAATTGTCCGTGGCTCACATTGTTGACAGTCATTTGGCCATGGGTCAAAATCCCGTACCCCCAGTGAACATCGCAATCCCCACTAAAATAGACTAAAATGGGTGGTGCACCTACCCCAAAATGGTACCATTGGTTTTGACCCGCAGCCATATGCTTTGGGAACAAACGTGCGTGTGAAGATCTCCCGTGTCGCTTGAAGCTTCCACGGTCTTTGATGCCGATGCGCTCCTGTATAGGCTGAGCAGATTTTTCCTTCTTTCCCAAGCGGGAAGGCGGCTGGCAGTGTGAGCAACGGAGGCGAAACGAGAAGACACCCAAGTTAGAAGTTAGAAGTCGGGCCCATTTCGGGAGCACGTTTCAAAAGGGCCATCATTCTGTATTCCTCCCTGTACCCGACTGCCCTGAAAGATCCCTTTTTCAATGCAATCTTTGCCCATTTGGCTTCAGCCACAAGGCTCAGTCTTCCAAAAGCAGCTTTGTTGACGGCCGCTTCAAATAGGTGTGGCTTGAACCGTCGCTAGAACTCGCCTTGCGGGCTGTGTGGTATTGCAATTAGAACCAGTCATGACTTGGACGCAGAGCAACCGCGGAGAAGCGCCCTCAATCTTGGCCTCTTTTCGTGGCTTGCACAAGGCTCCTTCTTCGGCAGGCTCGTTGGCATTGCTCAGGGGCGCCCCAGACTGCCAGGGTGGAGTGATTGCGGGTGGATTTTTGATATGTTTGAACAGAATGCCAGAATAGTTGCAATGAGAAAGTGCTGGTTGCGCCCCACCCTGGCAAGCGCCCATTGGTGCAATTTTGTACAGGCGCAGACACCCAGACTCTATCCGAAAAGCGCGGCTGCAGACAAGGGCGTGGCGCTTGCAGCTGCAGGGAAGATTTTTCGCAAGTGAAGTTGCCTGCAATGAGCAACTTGCTTTCTCAGACGTTCTGTGTGGAAACTGTTGTGCAGACATGTTTTCGGACTTGTTTGTCCGGCAAGAAGTGTGGGCCTGGTAGCTGAATAGCCTTTTTGAGGCCGATATTTCGATTCAATGCATCCTGAGGTTCGCGTATTCTGAGCCCATGAGGTGTCTTCAGTTGGTTGACAAAATCTCACATGTAACCCCTTGTGAACTCAGACAATCACCAACCTTCACAAAGACTGCTTTGAATGAAGCATCTGCAAGCAGGCGCCACACTGATTTTCTGCCAGTGGTCATATCAGACATAGGACCTTCCAGTTTTGTTTCCTTGGGGAACAGACAGTGAGATGCAGAATGACGGCAACCAAGCACACGTAGCAACAACGCCACGGAACTATGTCAATGCCACAAGCAACTTGCTTTATGCTCGCTAGAAGCTGTTCCTATGGGGCCCCCTCTACTTTGAACAGCTCTTTGAAGCCGAAGAGAACTCCGGATTTTGGCCAGGCGTAGGCGTACGTCAAAGGCGGGCACCCCAATGTTGACTTCAATTTGATTCTCCTTCTCACACCCTCAAAATTGGACGGGGGTCCCATTTGGGGAGACAGACCTTCCTTGCTCCGCCTTTGAGCCGAGTGATGCCTATATTTGGGGGGGAGTAAGAAGGCAGTATTATGCTTCTGTAGCGAGGCAATCCTTCACTTGAACACAACCTTCTTTGCTGGAATCCACCATCTGGGGTCACATTTTCTTTTGGGGGAACGACCCAGGTGGATCCGGGGTTATTTTGGGGGTGCGGCTTGAGACCTGAGCAATCCACCAGGATCCGGGGTCACCTTTTGGGTTCGTACGAGGTTCGAGCGTTCGCCTTCGAACAATTGGCTGTGGGTCAAAACTAAACCACCAGAAAAACGCAAGTTTTGTCCTTGGTTCCATTTACCATGGTTTCATTTTGGGGTTACCTTATTCTCGACCCACCGCCAGTCCCCGGTTCGTGGCGCACATGCTCAGCGGTCACCTGGCCAAGCTCACCAAGGTGCCCTGGGACCCATGGGATTTTGGGGGATATTGGGGGATATTGGGGGGTGGTTGGGTAGGGGAACATGGGGGGGGAGGGGGCGTTGGGCGGGGAAAGAGTGGGGCGGGGTGCTTTTTGTTTGTTTGTTTGTTTGTTTGTTTGAGGGCAGTCGGCACTTGGCTTGTTTTCTCACATCATTGCACATGTGTGGTCGAAGATATGGCTGTGGGTCAAAACCAATAAGACTTGTCACATCTTGCGGAATCATGATCACTCTGAGCGGAAAAGGTGTCACTGCTTACGGAAGTGAAACTGTCACTGCTTACGGAAGTGAAGCCACTACACGCGGAAAAGTATAGGGGTAGGAAGCTCCTTCCTTTCTAAGGCTCCTTTCTAAGGCTCCTTTCTAAGGCTCCTTTCTAAGGCTCCTTTCTAAGGCTCCTTTCTAAGGCTCCTTTCTAAGGCTCCTTTCTAAGGCTCCTTTCTAAGGCTCCTTTCTAGAACCTTCATCACGGCCCCCTTTTCAAGAGGATTGGCTGGGGATCCGCTTTTCGAGCTGGAATGCCGGATTCCAGCTCGAAAAGCGGATCCGCAAGACAACCTTCATCACGGCCCCCTTTCAGGAGGGATTGGCCGGGGATCCGCTTTTCGAGCTGGAATGCCGGATTCCAGCTCGAAAAGCGGATCCCCAAGACAACCTTCATCACGGCCCCCCTTTTCAGGAGGGATTGGCCGGGGATCCGGATTCCAGCGAAAAGCGGATCCCCAAGACAACCTTCATCACGGCCCCCCTTTTCAGGAGATTGGCCGGGGATCCGCTTTTCGAGCTGGAATGCCGGATTCCAGCTCGAAAAGCGGATCCCCAAGACAACCTTCATCACGGCCGCCTTTTCAGGAGGGATTGGCTGGGGATCCGCTTTTCGAGCTGGAATGCCGGATTCCAGCTCGAAAAGCGGATCCCCAAGACAACCTTCATCACGGCCCCCTTTCACGCATTCCAGCTCGAAAAGCGGATCCCCAAGACAACCTTCATCACGGCCCCCCTTTTCGGGAGGGATTGGCTGGGGATCTTTTCGAGCTGGAATGCCGGATTCCAGCTCGAAAAGCGGATCCCCAAGACAACCTTCATCACGGCCCCCTTTCAGGAGGGATTGGCCGGGGATCCGCTTTTCGAGCTGGAATGCCGGATTCCAGCTCGAAAAGCGGATCCCCAAGACAACCTTCATCACGGCCCCCTTTCAGGAGGGATTGGTTGGGGATCCGCTTTTCGAGCTGGAATGCCGGATTCCAGCTCAAAAAGCGGATCCCCAAGACAACCTTCATCACGGCCCCCTTTCAGGAGATTGGCCGGGGATCCGCTTTTCGAGCTGGAATGCCGGATTCCCCAAGACAACCTTCATCACGGCCCCCTTTTCAGGAGGGATTGGCCGGGGATCCGCTTTTCGAGCTGGAATGCCGGATTCCAGCTCGAAAAGCGGATCCCCAAGACAACCTTCATCACGGCCCCCTTTCAGGAGGGATTGGCCGGGGATCCGCTTTTCGAGCTGGAATGCCGGATTCCAGCTCGAAAAGCGGATCCCCAAGACAACCTTCATCACGGCCCCCTTTCAGGAGGGATTGGCTGGGGATCCGCTTTTCGAGCTGGAATGCCGGATTCCAGCTCGAAAAGCGGATCCCCAAGACAACCTTCATCACGGCCCCCTTTCAGGAGGGATTGGCCGGGGATCCGCTTTTCGAGCTGGAATGCCGGATTCCAGCTCGAAAAGCGGATCCCCAAGACAACCTTCATCACGGCCCCTTTTCAGGAGGGGTCCGCTTTTTCCGCAGAGACTGTGCTTTGTTTTTCCGCACATTTGGGTTTTTTTTTGCGCTCTGCGGGGTTCGCACGTTTTCCGCGCGCAGCGCCAAGCCTCCAAAACCAATGGTACCATTTTGGGGTAGGTGCACCTCCATTTTAGTCGATTTTGGGGATTGGGATGTTCACTGCGGGTACGGGGTTGCGACCCATGGCCATATGTTTGACTTGGGTCTAAAGTGGAAGGAACGACTCAGCCACGTGTTTGAACTCCTAACTCTACGTCTCCAAGCCGCGCAGGAGACGCTTTTGAACAGCCCGGCCTTCCACCGCTTCGCCCAAGAGTCCTCCTCCATTGCGCAGAAAGCCTTGAACGAGGCGATTGGCCAACCGATGCCCCACTTGCGTCGACTGATCTTGCGTCACGAGCTGTTCCAGGGCTGCCAGTGAGGGAAACGCAGGTTGCCAGGCTTGCTTGTGGGGAACAGGGTATGAATGTGAGTTTGTCTTTCTTGTGTCACAAGCTGTTCTACTGCTGGAGAATTAGACAGAGAGCCATTTCTTCACCCTCTCCCTGCGAGTCAATTGAGATGGGAAAGGGAACGCTAAGACATGGGTCTCTTAGTCTTGTTCACCATATCGTCGTAGCGTGTTGATCCTGGCGGGTCGGGAACCGACTCTGTCCCGATGAGGATCTTCCGTCACTCATCTGTCTCTAGGAGTTCATCTGACTCTAGGAGTTAGTCCGGGTGGCGTGTCATAGAACCCAAAGTGGTAGAAAGGTATGTGACAAGAGAAAGGACATGGGGTCTGCGAATGGACGTCGCTCACCTTCCTACAGCATGCCATCAAGCAGAACTAGAACAAGACAGGGATGGCATGGGACACCTCACGTCTTTATCAAGGGTTTTATGGCCAACAAATGAAAAGGAGATGGGGAGAAGACCAGACCCTTGAATCATCAATTGGATATCAAACGCCATCTTTCTTGTCGTTGCGGGGGAAAAATCCTGGGACATGAGCTGCGGCAAATGAAAGGAAGGGATTTTGCGAGGCAGCGAGGGAAGGGATCTCTGATGACACATTGCCAATTTTTCTATCACTTCATTCATCAGAATGGGACGAGAGGGAGTGATGGAGAGACTGACCAGAGACTTTCCAGGTTACGGGACCCCAACACCAGGAATCCGCCCATAGAGACATGCGAAAGGAGGCTTAAAGGGCATTGTACGTAAGTGGGTAACCAAGGCCAAAACCCAGAACTTTCATGGTTCTAAGTCTCCTAAGTGGGCGCTGGGTCACCACACATCACGCACCTCCCACCTGACGGGCCGAGTCGATCGCCCCGCGGCCGGTAGGCTGGGTGGTGGGTGGCGGGTGGGCCTCCATTTTTTTTGGTAGGCGATGCGTGCCGCCCAGCCGGTGGTGGACAAGGCGGCGTCCAGGAGTCAGCAGACCTTGAGGCCGGGGTTGAGACCAATGGGCAGGGATTAGCATAAAACCATTAGGGCACAGCGGGTTTTAGTCCTTGGTTCCAAAAAATCCGGGTTCCATTTTGGGTACCTATTTCTGACCCACAGCCAAATGGGTGTTTCTCCAAACAAGGTGGTTCCCTGAAACGGCTTCCCTTTGCATCCGAAAAAGGGGTTCAAGTCCTATTTTGAGAAACCCCCAACTGGTGCGAATGGCTTCGTCCTTGTTTTGGGGGTACCCCAGTTTGGTGGTTAGGAACCAGAAGGGAAACCGATGGCATTTTGGGCCCAAATGCTGGTTCTCTTCTTGTGTTTCCCTGGGCTTAAATTTCGAAACCCGAGGTCTTCGGAGCAACCGTGGGGTGGTGATTTTTTTGACCCGTGGGACTGACTTTTTGCGGGCTCGATGACCAAGAGAGTAAAGGGGGTGACTAGCAATGAGCCGGATGGAAAGGCGAGCCAGGAGCCCTGCCTACTTTCCTCCATGGATGCTCTGGAGGCCCACGCCCGCGTGCGAGCGCGCGCCACGCGCCGAGGCAGTTGGAGCGCAAGGCCAATGAGAGCTTGAAGAACAAGTGATCGCCAGTTGTCCAAATGGCAGGACAAGTCTTAACGTCTCTTGTCGGACTTCACGCCATCTTCACAGCATCTTGTTGATCTTTCAGCATGTCTTGTTGATCTTTCACCATAGTATATGCATGTACCCTGTACTGATACATACATTTGCTCATACAGCATCGCCAGCGCAGATTCTGCTAGACGCAACCTGTGGCAAGCACGTGGCTTGGAGATGGTTTGAGACTTGCACGGATTTGGGCACAGCATGGGCTTGGATCAATTGGCCACCAACAGCATGTGCACCTGTAGCATCGTGGGCTGCAGGCTTTCCTTTGGCAGAATTGGCGGAATGAACATTGACATTGGTAGGGGCCAACCGTGATTCCGGCAACAAGAGCTTCCTAGCTTACTGCCGCAAAATGCAGCAGATGAGTCTGCCCAGCCTGGCAGCCGGTTTTTTTCTGGCGCCTTCTGAGTGCGCCAAGGACATTGGTCTACAGGGCCTGGGGCAGGCCTGTCTTGGACATCACCCAAAGCCGTCAAAGGGCGGCCTGTGCAGCAAGGCGCGACACCTTGGAGATCGGGTGGCATCAGCAACCTGAAGTCAGGATCACGTTAAAACGGGGCGAGTGCACTTACTCTCCTACGCCGGATGCCAACCCTACCTCTGCAGAGACTGCGTTGAAATGCGAGCGCATCGCCAACAGCAGCTCTGGAAAAAAGGCGGCGTTGCAGAACTGAAGCGCTGCGCGCATGGCCTTCAGCCTTGGGCTGGCATTTGTGAATTTCGTGGCCCTTCAACGTCCCTGAAACCAAGATCCCTCTGGGGTGAGGAAGAGGAAGTTTCGAGGAGGCAAGCTCTCTCAGAGGATGAGTTCATACTTTTTGTTTCAACCGTGCTTTCAGCCTTTGCACCACCTCGCACATCGTGCGAGGCGGTTTGCCTCGTCTCTCGACTTTGGTTGCCTTTCCTCACCATTGGCCTTGCCCGACCTCGCTCTTTAGCCAGCGCTTCTGTCCCTTGCTTCTTCATCCGCCATGACCCGTCCTTGCTCCTTTTACATTTCCGTTGCTCGTCGTTGCTTGCCTTCGCTCAGCAGCTTTCATTTGTGCGCCATTGCGCTCGCCCACGCTCATTTGCCTCCATTGCTAGTCCTTACTCGGCCCAAGGATAATAAACTACTGGTTGCTTGTATAAGTCCAACATTAGAGGCACTCCTTCTTTGGCCCCAAGTTAACTCGCAAGGTCAATGATTCTGGGGTGAATAGTACACACACTAAATTTCTCTTGCGAGGCGAGCAAACTCTCACAGACCGCTCAGTGCACTAGGCGCGCGCTCGTTGAGCAGATGGCTTCCTAGGGAAGTCATCTTGCGGGAGAAGCATTTCTCAGTGGGTTGAGCCTTTGGTTAAGCGAGTGATGTCAACCTTTGATGGGAATCGGAATCTTTGGGCTTCACTCGAGATGGATCCAGGGGATACAAGCAGAAGGTGGGGCAACTGACTGAGGGTTATTCAGGGATAAACCAGGGCTCCGGAAAACGCAACAAGAACGGCAGCGTTTGAACCGCCCATTCTCTCCATGACATTCTTTTTGGGGGCATGTTTGGTAGGAACGCTCCTGGAAGGCCAAAAAGTGAATTCACTCTTCAGGGTTTGGGGGTTGATTCCCTTCAAATCGCCAGTTCGAGGGTCATTTTGAGGATATCACTCTCACTGAGTTTACCCTGACTAGCTCGTGGGGCTGCTTGTAGGCAGCCACAGTGGCATGCGTCACCTGCAGGTTCAAGATAGACCTTGAGCCGGTCAACGTGGATGATTGACAGGTCAAGAAGTGGTAATCGACATTTCTTCCAGAACACCCTCCGTGCTCAAATTCGGGGAAGGGCAGATGTGACTCATTTCAGGATTTCAGTTTTCGCTGCCCCGTGCAACAGCAAGGTGCTGGAAACTGAGCACAGGGGCGATCAAAACACATGCTACATTTGAAGGCAGCAAACAAGAAGTCTCTCGAAATGTACTGCAGACATCACCTTCACCGAAAGACGCCGCTTTTGGGCGACAAGCTTCGCATGTGAGCTCCGGCGGTCTGAGCTCCGGCGGTCTTTTTTATGCCAGGGCCTAAGGCTGATTTACCAGGTTTGGCAGCATTGCCACTAGGCCATAGGTGGAACCAGTGGCTTGGTTTGATTATATAAGGTGATTGACCTAAGCACTTTCCACGCGCCTCACCTTCCTATGCCGTGCCAGACACGTGCCTCTCTTCCTTGAACTCGGGGCAGCATTTGAATTGTGGTACAGAAATGTGATCATGGTCTCAATATGGGCTCCTTCTGACAACCTCCCCATCATAGAAGCTGCAGACCAGGAAGGCCTTTTCGGAGTTCGAGAGCACCAGCGGAGACGATGTGATAGACCTGTACCGCCTTGTTTCATTCCTCTTTGGCTGGTCAAAGAGGGCGGCTCCTGCCTGAAGATGTTTCTTCTGAAGAGTCCGCTTTTCGATCACTCCAAGGCTCTGGAGACATTGCAAGCCTTTTGTTGCATTCTGAAGCATGCTTGCGAAAGGGTGCCTCAGTGATCAACTAAATAAAACCCCAACATGCCCCCCGCGGCAGCAAATGCCCACATCGCGGTAAAGGGTCATCGGCAAACATGGTCCAGTCATTGCAAAACAAGGCACAATCCGAGAGAGAGAGAGAGAGAGCAGATATTGGTTACTCCCCAGATATTACCAGAGAAAGCAGATGTGGTTACTCCCCAGATATTCCAAGAGAACGCACATGTGGTTACTCCCAAGCAGGGAGTTCCTTGTAATGGTACGACTCCTTTTTCGGGCTTCTCCGCGATCAGATCCACCCCGTGGGGCCTTGAATCCGGCCCGAGGTGGCCCTTCTCAAGGCTATCTGCGGGTGACCCCGGAATCGAGTCGCCTGAACGTGTGTTGCCACGAAGTCGAAGATTTTTGGATGTGCCTTTTCAGGCAGTGACAGTGCAGTTGGGCGCTCACCCGTAAACTTTTGAACGGGAAATCCCGTGACCTGCAGCTTTCTTGTTCTGCTCTTGAGTGTCCCTTCGCTACGTCTAGCTTGCCTCAGCTGTTCACAGCCTATGGCTCAAGCCATAGATGCGAATGAGCATGAGCTTTTCAATAGCAAAGTGCCGCCTCCGTGACTTTGCCCATCGGAACTTTTCACACCACATTGAACATATGGATCTGGGGAAGGAGAGTTCTGCAGGCATACAATAGATGTGGTTCCCTTTTTCCACGGTGAACGAACAGCACTTACACACCTTGTGTGGGTCGCCCACAAGAGGTGTCCCTCTTGCCCCCTTAGAGCACTTTGTGGAGTCGCCGATGACGTCGACGGCGCTTAGCCGGAAGCGCCGGCTGCTTCTCCTAGCTGCGTGGCTTGCTTACCGATGCGCCCCGCAGCGCGGCTTTGCGATGCCAAGCCCGTCCACGGTGTTTCCGGAGGCCGCACCGAGTGAAGGACGCGTCAAGGGGCAGCCAGGGTTGCGCCAAATTTGTTTAGACAAGCACTCCGAAGGGAAGCCAACGGGATATGGTTGACGCATTCGTTGTTTTGACATGCTTAACCAAGTGGAAAGACCCAATCACCCAACCCGAGTTTAAGCCCCTGCATCTGTGGTTGCCAACGAAACACAACCAGTTTTGTTTTGTAGAACCACTTCAGAGAGCACGAACCCTTCTGAGCAGCCGAGCCACGAGCATAACTATTTTCTCGAATCAAGTGCTGTGCGGTGTGTGACTTTCTTTTGCGTCGTCTGGCTTTGGCATCATCCTGCGTCGGAAGAATGAGCGCTACGCCGCAGGCACTGTGATTTTTTTGGGGAGCCACTTTGGGAAGGGAGCCAGGCACTTCACCTGAAAATGCAAATGATGATGCCCTCACCACACCACTTGCTTCACAGGGAGCCAGCGCAGGTCGTCGTCCCTCGTTCCAAAGGGTTAGACAGCTTTTGTTTGCCGTTTGGTGCGTTTTTGGGGCGCGCTACACAGCAGCGAGTGGTGTTCTTTGTTGGGCTGTCGCTGTGGTGTGCTCTCACCCGCCACGTGGGACAGCGGCGTGCCAGCCGTTGAAGGGACTTTGAGTGGACCAGTTTCGGAGGTTTTCGTCAAGCGTCCACACCATCGAGTTTTGGGGTCCATTGGAATTTGGCTAGATGGGTGTGGAGGTTCGCTGAATGGCTAGTCACATGGGATATGGGTCCAGGGGGGGGGATACTGGGGTTACCGGGGTAACTCCTGTTAACTGGGGGTTAACTGGCTCCCTTCCAGGTTAAGTGGGGGGATTGGCTTTAACACAACAGCGGTTTTTATCAACAAGGAGCCAACAACATGATAAAACAAATGAACAAACCTTGCAACCAAACCAGGGATTAGCTCAAACACCCACAACAAATGATCTTGAATCTGGGAGGGGGGGTTATAAAGCCCCAAAAAAGTGGCACACGTAAAAACGGCGCTAGGACCGAAGTGGAAGCCGCCGGACGGGCCGGGGGACATCGAGACCGTCTCAGTGCAATGCCTCCCCTCGAAGATCCTCGCGGATCACAGCATAGGCGGGCCGAAAAGCGGGCGGAGCCGTGAAAGCCCTGGCTGCGGGTAAAACCGGCATACCTATAGGTGTCCTTTTTGTTAGTTTGGTTAAGAATAGATGGGATCCACTGGTTTGGATGGGGTTTAGTCCATTTACAAGGGCCATCTATTTTCCAGAAAGGACATCTATGGGCATGCCGCAGTTCTGGAAGTTTGGCGGAGCTGAGAAGGAATGAAAGAACACTTCTTGTTGTGATACCAAGAGAGTCCGCTTGGACGCGATAAAGTAGCCATGAGGATGGCAATCCCACTTTTGTGTCACAGAAACAGGTTATTGCACAACGATGGTCGGAGGGAGGGTGTGCGGCGACCCCAAAAATGGTGGTTTCCCTTTTTGGCTTCCCTTGAAACCAAGGCATTGGGTACCCTTGAAAAAGGCAGACCCACATGTGACATGTTCCCTTCCCAAATGCAGGTCATGGGCGCCGTTCCCTGAACAGAAATCCTTGTGGTTGTCTAACTGGGTGTCAGTCCTTTTTTTAGGGGATCCCCAAAAAAGGCTGGTTTCCTTTTGGTTTCCCCTTCAAACCAACCAAAAGAGGGGCCCAAGAAGGACCCGCCCAAACTTCAAGCTGGGTGAATTATAACGACCTCACACGACCGAATTCACCCCAAATGGTGGTTTCTGTGGGGAATAGCCCCCGACCACCTTATTTCAGGTTGGTGAAATATTATAATTCACCCAAACTACCCATCAAAAGGGTCCGGCGACTGGCCCTGCCGTCGATTTGAGCTAGGCACAGCCCAGATGCTGGCGCTGCGGGGGATCCTGGGTGGCAGCGTCTATGCCAAGACCTTGCGGAAGCAGGCTGGGGCCCATGGGATCCCGTTTCCGGGTGTTGGGAATGAACCCCCCTTAGATCTTGTAAGGCTCGCGCAATGAACCTAGGGAATCCCTCTAATGAAACCACCAGTTGGATGGTTTGTTAGGGTCAGTCTATTTCTCATTCCCTGCGGAAATATGGGCCAGAATCAGGCCCCTTACTTCAAGTGGGGCAGAAGCGTAGGTGGCAATGTGAAACTCACAGAATCGGAACATGGTCTTCCGGTTACATCCCATGCTGTGTTTGGGGGGGTGGGGGGGTTGACTGCGCGAAACCAAGAATCTGGGCAATCCCCATGGCCACGCTCCAATCGGGTCCCTGGTTTGGCAGCGCCTTTTGAGCGAAACGCAAGATGCCCAGGTTTGTTTCTTGGGGATTCGATTCATCCCCAAGGAGAACGGCAGTTCCACTCGATGGGTTCTTGGGCGCTTTTCACATGGCAGACGAAGGCGTTGGCAAAGTCGGCACGTGGTCAGAGAGGGTGACTTGCTCGAGCGATGTGTTTCTTGTTCTTGGATGGGCGCCTTTGACGGCTGCAAAGCATAAGCGCCACGGTGGTGTTGTTTCGAACACGAATGTGCCCCCCCCTCACAAAGGGCTCCGTGGATGATCCTCCACAGAGCTGGGCATGAATGAATTTGCAGTGCAAACAAGCCCCAGCCTTTGGCATTTGCCAAAGGATTTGTGTGTCAAGATGAGTTCCGCTTCAAATGCTGGCTTGCATGTTTTTCAACCACTGAAGCGCCTCCTTTGGTTGGTAGTTCAACGGAAACTGAAAGGAAACCACTCATTTTGCGGCCCATACATACACACACACACAGACACCCACTCCATGATTTTCTCTGAGCCGGGATAGATGAAGGCTAGTAAGGGACCGTCGGCCGACATAGGCACGGCCTTTCTATTTCCTCGTGGATTTGGGCAGACCCCGCAGTGCCAATTTCCTTTTCCGAGGTGCTCCAGTGCTCCAGGGAGGAGCGGAGCGTGATCATTTTCGGGGAGCCCGGGACCAAGAAGGACCAGCGGCATCGAGCTATTTCAATGTGATGGCAAATCGAGTTTTTTGTACGGCAGTGGTTCTGAAATTTGAAGCTTGACGCAGCCCAGCTCGACTTTCCCTCAAGTGGGTGTCAAAATTCAACCGCCAGGACCGCAGGTTTTAGTCTGTGTTTCCATTTACCAGGTTCCACTTTGGGCACCTACATATGTTTGACCCACTATGGTTGCATGGCGGCAGATCGAAGGACATGCTGGCCTTCAACATCCACTTTGCCCGCCGCAAAGGCACCTTTTTCCGCCAGACTGATGGCTTGAACATTCGAAGCGCCCGATGAGACGACTAGAAAGGGGCTGAACAAGTTGGGCAACAAGAAGGCTTCCAATTGTCCCGCTGTATCACCCTTCAGTCCGTTTAAGAAACCATGTACACGCATGTTGTGCTGCTTGTAACCAACAAAAACCAACACCAAGAGATAGGACCAGCAAACCTTGCATCGGTGGGGCTTAAGTTTGGGCCCCCTCCAGACGAAGCCAACTTTTCAAAGCAGAGCATCCAAGACAGCAAACATTTTTTGTGCTTGTGGCGATTGGGCCAATTCCTTATTCCGGCATTAATATGGCTGTGGGTCAAAAATAGGTACCCAGTATGGAACCCTGGTAAATGGAGAAGTAGACTAAAACCTGCGGTCCCCTGGTGGTTTAATTCTGACCCATTAAACCACAGTTTTGTTGACAGCCTCTTTTTGATTTCCCGTTAAACAGAAACCGCGCCTGTTTCTTGAATCTTTTTTTTCTTTTTCGGCGCTGGAGTTGGAGCAGTGAGCAGAATCACACCTGGTATGGTCGAGGGGCCTGGCTTGCTCACCACCAATGTGGCATAGGCACATTGGTCATGGAGGGGATAGCTGAATGGGAATGTGCCCAAACGATCTTTCACAGCCCCCCCTTTTTTGGCCATTTGGAAACCAAGAGAAATCAAAAGGAAAAGGCCAGGTGGTTCCCGTTGTTCGTTGTTGGGATCCCTACAACTGTCAGTGCCATCCCCGAAAGAGCACCGAGCCTCAGAGAAGCCGACCCAACGTGCGATGGTCATTGGAGAGAGACGGATGCATGTCAGGAATCACCTGATCACAGGGTTCAACCAACAAGGGGGGTTGCAACTAAGCTGAGGGGTTTCATCAAAACAAAGGATTTCAATCGACAACACCAGACTGTCAATAGAGTTGCAGCAATAAAGTCATCGAGTCAAAACAAGTGTCACCTTTATGCTGATCCAATCAGTATCCACTTCTTATTTAGTTGAACCAGCAACAGCAAGACGCCGAACACTTTGTTGCGTTTTTGTACGGTGGCTTTTAGCTTTGTAAGAGACAAGGGGGCCGAATCGCCAGTTCGATCAACACTTGGGGGTTTGACTGATGTTTTTCCTGCCATGTTAGTGAGAGGGAGGAGGGTAGATCCCCAACACCAGCAAGGGGTTTCGACCAAAGCAAGGGTCTTCGAGGGTTTCCCACGTTGAACTCAAAGGGGATTTCAGTGTTTGATCCGGTATTTCTCGAATGAGGGGACCATGGGGAATTATTGTTGTCACCCGCAAGGAGACCAAACCCCGCTTCATGTTTAGAGCCCTTTGGTGCTTTTCGGGGGCTCAGGGCGCTTGCTCTTCGTGGACTGCGGCGGTGTGTCCAGCTTCGGTGCGCGGATCTGGGGGCGCCAGGGCGCTCCCGGGCTGCTGGACGTGGCAGACGAGGGCACGCTGGTCTTCAACAACGTGCCGTGTGCGGTTGAGGGGGGCGGTGTTCTCGGTTTGCTTCGACATCGATCTTCTTGCAGCCAGGTATATATCTTCTACATTTGGGCTGAAGGCCCCTTTTGTATACTCTCACTGCCGTCAGCTAGGAGTAGCAGAAGAGATCCATAGCTGCATAGTGAGCCGTGACAATAGTAGGCCAACCCGATCTGGGGGAGTAGGCCCCTGTACGGGCTCAATTGTTGTAGCGGAGCATGTTTTGGAGACATACAGAAGATGTCATCAGATGGAGAAGTCTTCATGGAGGCCTATACGAGCGCAGGCTGACAGAACACATCAAGTCCATGTCTTGTCAGATGGAACAAGCGGATTATTCGATCTTCTCGACCCGTTCAATCATGCATGCATTCTCTGCGGAGACAAGCTGAATGTCCTGCTGACAATCTCTCTGACGCACGAGAAGACGAGATTTGAGTTGGCGTTTGTGTTCCCGAAGTACGACGGATCATTGCAGGAGAGAAGAGACAAGAAGCAGATCGTGCGTCCACGCCAACGCATCAGCAACTCGCCGCCGGATCGCAGAAACAGCATCGCTCAAACCAGACGGGCGCAGCTACGAGGTTCTGGAGTATTTCAGATCTCTCTCCGGCCACACTTGTGACGTCGGTGCCACCTCAAGAAGTGCCGCCACCACCACCCGGATCACGAACGTTCTTCAGTGGAGAAGAATGTGTCATTCATGGCACACGCGACTTCCAATAAGGACATGTACGAGATTCTGTCATCAAGCCAGGACAAGAGACTCGCAGTCAAGGAAGAGTACACCTTCATCCCGCCTGCGCCGACGGCTACATCATTCCGCCGCTGGAGCATGTCTGCAGGTGAATCCCCGACAACAGATCCGCAATCATGGTTGTGGCAGTCACGCCAGGTCAGTGCTTCTCAATCCAGCGAACAGCGACGACCAAGGAGTCGATTCCTGTCGGTAGACTCATCAGTCTCATCAGAACGCCAAGTAGCGCTTAAACAGTGGTTGTCTTCTCTCAAGCGAAACGTCAACAAGAAAGATGCTGAGCACATTCGCGCGCAAGAAGTGTTGAGGAGAAGTTTGCAGAGAATCGCGGGAGACGACGTTCCAAGGTGAAGAATCCGAGGATATCGTTGCGAGATGTGCGCAACCAAGTCTGAACCATCCTTCAATATAGCACTTCTTTTCACAAGGCGGTGGCAACAGCAATGACATCGTGGAGGCCTTCAAGGAACATCCCTTCTCTGCCGAGAAAAGAAACCAGGAGCTCGACGAGGGTTTCACTTTCTTCACCAAGATTTGCTCCATCGTTACACCGAGAGTTCTAAGTCGCAGAGAAGTGAACGCACCGCCGATGAGATCGCATCCTTGAAGTGCCTGGACCCAGAATGCCCTTTTATGAAGTTGATTTCCGACGTTGAACCGCGGAGAAGTACAGGCTAGAAGGTTCAAACACACGGCGACGCGACGGCTAACTTGCGAGACATCAGCAGTAGTCCGGGTGTTGAAAAACGCCCTGTGAGAACCATCCCGATGGCAGAGGCCTAAAATTCACAATCTTACACACAACTCCGCGCACATCCCCTGCTCAATAAAACTGATTACTTCTTCGAAGAATGTCCCAGCGCAGAGATAGCGAAAAAGTGTCAAGAGCCTTCATCAAGGCAGGACTTTGTGGAATCGTGGAAGGCAGGACAATGCCAGAGCGATCGGATACAATCACATGCGAGCAAAACCTGTGTGCCCGCCATGCCCAGGCAACTTCCTGAGCGCAGAAGATTGGAACACAGAGCAGCGCCTGCCGAAAACGCAAGTCGCGTTCCATGGGCGAAAGAGAGAGATTTTCGCCATCGTGTTTCCTTCCAGACGAGAGGAGTTCAAGCGTCCGACCGTGGCCAGTGTCGATGATGGATTCGATTTTGATCAGAAGCATGTCGGCAGCCGGATTGCCTTGTGCAACAGTTGCCGATTTCCATATCCACCTATCTTTCGCCACAAGATTGACAGCAGGGATAGAAGACATGGTAGAAAAAATCTGCTTGGTTCTCAAGTGAACAAAGGAGTCAAAGATCAGAAATTTCAACTCTGAACGCGCCACGGAACCATCAACCGACCCTGCTGCGACCTCAGCAATTTCAGTCGCTTCATTTCGATTGACGAGTCATTGACATGGACATCGTTTATACAGATATTTCTGATGAGGTGAGCGGGTCAGAGTTTCAAACCGCTTTGATCTGTAACACAACGTCAGTGCGGATCACAACCAAGCGACCGCACAGACCATGGTTCTCCGCTGGAAATGCGTGTGGCTGCGTGCAACAGTTCTGCGCAGAAGGTGTATAACCACTTGTGTCGGTTTTTGTTCCCGGCTTGCTTCGACAGATCTTTTTGCAACATATCTTCCACATTTGGGCTCCAGACCCTTCTTGTATACTCTCACTGCATGCGGACGCATCAGAGCCGCGTTCCGCGACTGACTCCAGAATGTCGTCGCTCATGGACATGAAAAAAATCTCAGGTTTGAGATAAATCCAACAACAAAGTTAGTGGGCTAAACCCTTCAGGTGAGCAGCGAAGGCAGGGTTAAGGGTCTTTCTTGAGGTTTTGTGAAGGGGGTTGAAGGCTGTTTGTTCTTTTTCAAGGGGGCTTGAGTTGTCTGTTTAAAAGTGGCGAGACGGTGTTTGGACTTGTTTTGCTGACAAAGTCTTAGGGGATTCCATGGGTTATTTTCTTAGTATTGTCGGATTGGAAAATGTTCATTGGCAATGTGCCACCCACGTCGCGGCGTAGCGGAAATTGCGGACTCCGTGAATCATTTGGTGATGTCATGGAAGCTTCTCATTTCCAGCCCCGCGTGTTAGCCAACATTTCCTATATCTTCCCAGCCCAAAGCGGGGGTCTGAAACATCGCGTAGGTCAAGTCAAGGTGAGTTTGGCTTTGGAAGTCATGTAAAAGGGGAAATATAAGGAGCCCTGCGTTTTTTCAGTTGAAAGCGTTTGATTCAAGGTGCATCAGCTAAACCGACGGCTGCTGCCGGCCGTGGTGCAGCTGGCCACCAATGGCACGTACTGGTCTCGGAACGCAAAGCAGATGCAGCGAAGCAAACTGAAGGTGCGCCCTGCTTGGTTTGACCGGAACGGGCGGGGGAAGAGAAAGGCTTGCGTTGGAATATGTCTGCTCTGTTCGTTGGACATTCTTCAGTTGGGCCATGTAAGCCTTTGTTTCGGGTGTGTTGTGATTACATCCGCCCAAGGATGTTTCCTGCATCACTGCATGAATCTGAAGTCTTCTACTCATGTCTTGTTTGCTGGCACAAACATGCGTGTATGCATCGGCAGTGCTATCGGCCAAAACAGGGGACTCGATCAGCTATCATGGCCCCGCAAAATCATAGAGACAAACAACACTTATATAGTATACAACCTTATACAACCTTCATACGACGCACATGTTTACCCATACTTCATGTCTCTTCACAGGGGGCTACAGCAGGCATATTGATGAGCAGTAATGATTGATGTGCTCATTTCATGCCCTCGTTGGGAAAACGCACACACAGATGTGTTTGTATCCAAAGGAGGTTTGTCTCATGATAGCATGCATTCAGCAAGGACCGCGAAGGTCGTTCTGACATACCCACCTGATTAACATACCCTAAAACCAATCCATTCTGAGAATCTCCTTTTGGGGACCCCCCCCCCCTTTTTGGGTTGTTTATTTGTGTTGGGGCCCAAGGTGATCCTGATCTCTGAGGAGCAGACAGGCCGGCTGAGAGGATTTTTTTCCGTGCTCCGTCAGGGGTTCCCATGGGTGAGTCAGTCGTCACAAGTCATATATGTTTGGCCAACACGTCCTGATTTGTCTCTGGTTCATTTCACCAGATTTCCACCCCGCAAAAATCCAGGTGAGTGTGTGACTACGTGATTTTGGTATCTTTGTGGGTGAGTTCACCATCAAATTTTGGGCCTATGTTGATTCAGGTTCCTTTGGCGGGACGATATAGCGAACTTGTTGAGTGTAGACATGGAGAAGCGCCCGGTTCAAACAGGGCGGCCATTGCTTGCCCGGAGCGGCCTCATTGAAGGATTGAGGCGCTTCTTCCAGCCGGGGTCGGAAAGCTTAAGTGTGGCAGGACACATGGACAACCGCAACATACCCAT